AAACTATAGCACACTTTGTATTTTTTTACGAAAATTACAAAATTGACCAATTTTGACGAAAATTAAAATTGACCAATTTTGAACCCAATAAAGCGAAGCTTGCAAAAAAACACCAGGCCCACCCATCTTATTAATCAAGAAGCAGTAAATCTTTAGTTACTTTACTTATTATATCTACTTATGCATAATTACTTATTATTTAATAATAAGGTATTTAAATTTCAATATTAATATATTTTTCATAAAACTATTGTTACATAATGTACTATTACTTTAATAAATGTTTAAAATCATAAAATAAATGTACAAACATAGTATCTAATAGAGTTTTATTTTAATTCACAGAAAATTACTTTTGCGGGGGTCGATGGAGATTTCGAAAAATTATATAGGGGTCGATAATCAAAAAAGTTTGGCGACCCCTGATCTAAAGTATATTTTAAGATTTATTTTGTAGATTTTTATTTTTGTTAAAGATAAAGTTCAAAGATGTGTTGATAAGTGTGTGTATTCATTTTTAATTCTTATTAGGTTACAGTAGAAAATATATAATTACCACTATAATTCACAATAGATAAATGTCTGTGAAATGTTACCATCATAAATATTATCTTTATTTTACATATTACATAAAAAAATATGCAAAAACATAAAATGTGTTTTCTAGACAAAGATTATTTTCAAACAAAAACCTTTGGTTTGTAATAAAAGATGGTCAATATGTAGTCAGAATGTTGATTTTAAATTACATTTTTTAAAATACCTGTAGCTCTAGTTTTTTCTCTCCAGGAAGTTGATATAGCAAAAATATAGGAGGAACTGAATAATTATTAGTAAAATATTTTTATTACTGTAGGATTGTTTTATTTTAGAATTTTTTAAGATTAGATTGGAGAAACAAATTTTATAAAATTTACATTGTCTGAATTTCAATTATTCCTATTTGAATTGAATATTGTAAAAGCATAATTAAAATTTTCAAATACTAGTTCAAAAACTTAAGAAATTTATTTCTTACTATTATTAATATTTGTTACTATTACTTTAATACCAAATTTGTCTTAAGAGTTTGTGCATTGTTGATTTTTAAGGAAATGATTGTCTTATTGTTTTCACATATTATGTCCAAATAATATAAATAAATTATTTATAGTTACCGTCAGCTCAAGATCAAGTCAAAAATGGTGTTAATGCATCTCAAGANTCATCGTTTTTTCTTCTTTTTAAGATTATTTCCAAATATTATTTTTTTTCATTTGGATTTAACTATAAAAAAATGGCTTTTTGTAGCGATTCAGAAAACCGGAAAAATCAGTTATCCAGAATAGCGATGGTCCCGATCGTTCCGGATAATCGGTTCCCTACTGTACTTTAATACAAAATTTGTCTTAAGAGTTTGTGCATTGTTGATTTTTAAGGAAATGATTGTCTTATTGTTTTCACATATTATGTCCAAATAATATAAATAAATTATTTATAGTTACCGTCAGCTCAAGATCAAGTCAAAAATGGTGTTAATGCATCTCAAGATGATAGTTACTGTAAAAGTCTAGATGAATTTTTTCAAGATTATATTACAGATGAATCAGAGAACTCATCCCTTTCTACAAATTTTCCTTCTGGAAATCAAGATGTTTATGCTCCACAGGTTGAATATTTTATGTATTCTTGTAATTAATTTGTTTCTATTCACTGTAAAAATCAAAAGCTTTACTGTTGAACCATGTAAACAAATTTGGTATGGGTGGAGATCACCCCATCATGTGGTCCGGAGATGATGTGCAAGTCTTTAACAAATATTTCCAAAATCGTACACAGTGCTTATAAATTTGTTTACCAGGTCTATGATGTAAAATATTGCCTTCCTTTATAATATTTTGTTTGAAAAGAGAATCAGACATTAATTTACGGGGAAATCTGCAATAATGCTGAAACAAAACCACTTGGATTTATGATAAAATCCTCATGAACCATGAGTGGGGTAAAATTTGATAAGTGTGTCATGCATATATTGTATTAGAATATTGAAAACCATATAGAAACATGTATCCAATAACAGAACCACATAAATTGGCAATGGAATTGTTGATAGTGAAATCATCGAATTTATATATTGTATTTAAACTTATGATATTTTGAAAATCATGTGGAAATACGTAGCAAAAAACTATAGGGAAAAAGACTGTGTATTATTACAAATCAAGTGCTTCAAATTAAGGTTGTATCCAAAATATTGCATGTTATTAAATGGTAAAATATTTTGATGTTTTTTGCATTAATATGTACCTTTAAAAGTAGATATAACTTATGCACATGTATAGCTTGAACTTTTTTATTTTTGTCTACAAATTGCATTGTAATCTTTTAAATATTTTGCTGTGCATTCTTTCAAACCTCACTAATTTATATCAGTGAGATTTGGGGAAAAAAAGTATTAATAGAATAAATTTTGAAAATGTAACAATTAAAGGATAAAATTGCCAAATTTTAGGTTTCTAGCATAATATCCTTAATTTGTTAGAGAGACACACAAATACACACGTTTCTTCTTATTTTTAAGAAATGAAGTGTTTTAAAAATTTATTACAGTGTCAAATAATGTAGGGCAACAGGCAGGCTTTTTATAATAATAAAAAAATTTCTTTGATAGAGGTTTTGATAATCCAGATTTAACTGTACTTACTTGTAATGTTATTGAATCTTTAAACAATCAATTTATAGTTATGATTTAATTTTTTTTTATTAACATCTTGGATTTGACATTTGTTCTTGTTATAGAGTAACACTTCTGTAATAAGCATTCCTGATGAAAATCAATGTTATGAAGTTAACAATAATGGAGCTGACACACCACCTCGCACACCATCTGAATCTTCTGATAGTAGCATAGGATCACCCATCAGCCAGTTTCATCAAGAACCTGTCATTGTTTCTTTAAATTCTCTACCACAGATCACATATGTTTTACCTAGTAACAATCAAGTGACTATCAAATCATCAAAGCCACCAATTACAATAAAACCAAAACTCATACAGAGTAAAGCACCAGCCTATTCTTCAAATGGTACATAACTATTTTAAATCTAATTTTTATATTTTTTTTCCATTCTTGAAACATATTGTGTAAACAACACGAAATGTAAGGTTGCATATCTCATTATTTTATGAACTCTATTGCAAACATTAATTTTAGCTTTGTGTAGAAATAAAATTTATTTAAACAGTCTTAATCTATAGTAAAAAAAAACCTATCCTGTTATTTCAGGTAATGGTAAAAGATTTAAAGAATGATAGTTTATTAAAATTCTACAACATAAAAGAAAAAATAAATTTATTAAAATAAAATCTTGTATAATATAGAATAATTAGCATTTTTTATTTTGTTTATTTTAAATTATTTTTCCATTCTTTGACAATTTATGATAATAGAAATAAAGAAAATATGTGTAGTGTCTCGATTGTTTGAGTTTTTCATATATTCGAGTTAGTAAAAAAGTCAGTCTTGCTCCTAAATAATGAAAATCGTACTCACAACACGTGGCCCAATTACTAGATTGGTTTTATGATTACTGTGACTAAATATTGAAAAATGATATTGTGTGTTCAACTCTAAAATATGTGAATAATGTGTTGAAACAAAAAACATTAGGCAATTATTTTAAAGTACAATTAACCTGATGCAGTAATGTAATGAATATTGTAATTTGTTTTAATGTAGTAAATGTTGGTTTAATGTTGTAAAATAATCTAAAAATAACCATTTTAAGTAAAAAATCTATTTTAGTTAGTCTTAAATTGAACTTTTGACATTTCAATGGAACTAGGAATTTCAATACCATATTTAAGGAAAATTAAATTTATCTTAAACTTATAATGCATAAATGTGTTCTAAAATAAAATATTTTCGAATTTGCTCTTCAATTATCAAAATTGCTGTGTGCCAAAATTTTTTATTGAATAAAATACTTTTTTGTTTGAGAAAGTTACTAGATGTTGTGTTCAATAATGGTTATACTATTTCAGACCAGAAATAAAATCTTAAAATAATGAAGGAGTTGATATGTTTTTTATTGGTTAAAGTTTAATTTTAAAATTACAACAGTTATTAATATTTTTGATTTGATAAAGTATCAATCATTATATTTTCTTAGTTATCAGTGCGGCTACTAAGGAACCATTAATAAAATTACCTTGTGGTGTTTTTCAAGTAAAGTCTCCGACATCACCAAGTTCCAATCAGAAAAGATGTGATATCAGTGCAAACAAAATTAAAAGAAAATTATCAACGGATACAGAGCTGATTGGGGTAAATGTACACCAGTGTCTTTTCATTACAAACTTAAATCCTCTATATTTGAATTTGAACTGTCTTAGTTTATAATTGAATTTATCACTGTTGTTTACTTTACTCATTTTTTATATTAATTTTTCTTGTACTATGTGTTAAAGAAAAAATGAAAAGCTGTTTTCACTCTTGACATTTAATTAGTTTTTATTTTAACACAAATGTAGCTTTGTGAAATGGCATTAAAGAGGCAGACCAGAATTATGAAAAACAGAGAATCAGCTTCACTATCAAGGAAAAAGAAAAAAGCTGTAAGTATTTGTATGAGATCTAAAAATGGCTTAGTTGTTTCAATTTTCCACTTATGCTATTTTTTTCTTATTTGCTTAGTATGTTGAAAAATTAGAAGCAGATCTAAGTCAAATTACTGCAGAAAATTCCTGTTTGAAAAATGAAAATAATCAATTGAAGCTTAAAATCACTGATTTGGAAAAAGAGGTTATTTTACTTTAATTATTTCATCAATTTGAACAAATTTTAAATTTAAAGCAATTTGTATTTTCATATTTTTTTAAATTTTTATATTATAACAATATGTACATAAAATTTTATTTATTATTGAAATTATGCTTTTACTTATTCCATGTTCATGTTTCTAAGCTTGTATTATTTTACATAAGTCATTGCTTTCCTCATGAGGCAAATCTCACATACCCCTTTATTAAATGCTAATCTTACAAACAAGTACAAGAGAAAGAGAGATTTTATAGTTGCAGTTTAAAAACAGAATTCTACGGTTAAATTGAAAAGAAAAATGCACTGTTGAGAAGCAAAGCATTAAACAGTAGTCACTAATCACAAACATTTCCCTTTTTTGTTTTCTAATTAAATTCTCAAAATAATGCCAATTAGATCAAATTTTTGATACAAGAAACTAGTATTTTTGAAAACAATCTAAGTGGGCTGGGTTCTATAAAATCCTGAGTACCTAATCACCACATTTCATTCAAAATTGTTGCTGACACCTAATATTTTAAAGTAAAATTTGAAAAAATAAAACTAACTTATAGCCTAATTTAATTTTTTTGGGAGAAAAAGAAAAGATATCCGACCGGATGTGTTGTTGCAGTTTAGCTCATATGATTGATTGTCTGTACCGTAAAATTGTATATCATGCATCAGCTCACTTTTTTTTTTTACATAGGTTTTAATCAATATATTTTATGTAATTTCATAAAATGAAAAAAAAAATTTGCTACTTTTAGTTTTATAACAATATGTTCTAAAAATTCGTCCTGGTGCCTAAAAATTTGAAACTTTGTATGTTGGTATTGTTGATATTAAAACAGCATATGTAAAGGGCCGATGAAACAATTCGGAACAAAAGATACAGGAACAATAGATTGAGATTTTACTGTATCCACTGCAAGTTTTAAAATCACTTCCTTCGTGGTAGTTTGGCCACTATAGTGCTGATATGTGATCAAAATAAAAAATAGTTTTCTTTTAATGTATATTTTCTCTTCGGGAAAGTGAAATAATAAACTTTAATAAAATTTTTGTTGTTGATAATTATACCAATTTATTCCTTTGCTTTTATTTTATTTTCCAGCTGTCAAAATTAAAAGCTGCTTTTTCATCAAAAGCCTTAAAAAAGACTGCTTGCTTCATGGTGGTTCTCTTCATAATGACTATTAATTTAACCCCTTTTAAGTAAGTTTTACTTTTGTTATCATCTCTGTTATTTTATGTTCTTAAAATAATTTGTTTTCTAAAACAAAGAAAATTGCCATATAATAATTAGTTTGTGTGTTAAATAGAAATATTTGCATTATGCATTAAAATATTAGCATTTTATACAATTGTATTTACTTTTTGAAGTTAAGAGTGATTGAGCCAACTGCATCTGTATTATTTAGAGTTCCATAATCCAAAAAGAAAACCTGGGAATTATTAGGTTACATTTGTTGAAAGATAGTTAAAATTAATTTCTTAAACTTTTTTTTATCTGATGCCACCTTTAATTTATGAAAAAGTAGTCTCATGTTTTTCAAAAAAGCCACTGTTTAAAGCGCTACTACTCGCTGGTATTAAAATTTCCTAACTATACTTATAGTCTTTTTAGTGTATTAAATTTTTTCTGGTATGAAGTTATGCATACCTAATGTAATAAAAATTAAATAGAGATTTCTTATAAATAAATATATTATTTTTATTTAATTTTAATTTTTAAGATTTTGTAATAGTAGTAGTTTTGTAATAGTTTTTAAGATTTTCTTTCAATGAAATTACTTTCCCCAAATTTGAAAAAAAATGATGAACACTCATCTAATGTTGATATTTATTTAGCAACATATTTGACAAAGTTCCAGTTGATCCTCAGAAATCTGTTCTCGAAAACCATAGAGTTGGTAGGATTTTATTATGGAATGAAGAAAATAGAAGCAGGGAACTTAATGATTCAGAGCATTTTTTCAGTGACCGCTACATAGAGGAAGTTGATCCTTCTTATATAGTGTCTTGGGAAAAATCATACAATTCATCTTGTCATCAGTTCATCAACAAATCGGAATCTATCAGGTAAAAGAAGAAATTGATTAACTGTGCAACATTTTATTTTTTTAGTTTAAAAATGATTATGTTTTTTTTTAATGCAATTCATTTTTATAATCAGTTCTGGTGTTTTAAAATTCAAAAACATATTTTTGGGCATTGTATTTAAATTTTATAAGTTTTAAGTTCTGCTAGTTAATTTGAAGTGCATTTTAAAAATTATCATTATGGTTATTTTCTCCAGATTATGCAATAAGAAGAAATCTCGCTCCAAAAATAAGTAAAAATACTTCTACCATATTTTCAAAATTTATGAAGTAACAAAATTATTGTTCTAAAGCTTTTAATACTATACTTTGTAAGTTGATAGGAAACTGTTGGTTTTCTGATTTTAAAAAACTTTTGGTAAATTTAATTCTTATATTGTCATAAATTAATTTATCATTAAAGAAATAGTAATAAAGATTCAACCTCAAAACAATATGCTGCAGTTGACAAATTTCAAATTGCCCAAGAAATTAAACTGGATAAAAAAAAACTATAAACGCCTTTAATTTGTTGCATGTTGTATTTTAAGTTTCATTTTAATAGTCTCAAATGCAATTTCTTAAACTGATGATCTCTGTTAATTAAATTTTCATTAGTGCTTAACTAGATCAAATAAAGTTTAGGTTTTTATTATTAATTCTGTAAAAAAAGGAAATACAAATTTTATCAAAAAGCTGATCTAACTACTTCAAATTCCTATATTTACTCTAAGCATCAGAAGTTTTTTTTTTAAAAAATTAAAAAGAAAAAAATAAGAAACTTAAAATTTGTTTCAAGAATTATTTATTTTGCCTAATGTGCTATATTTTATTTGCTAAGAACATATTGTTACGTATTTTGATTCATTGAATTTCATTAACTTAAATGAAATAACCAGTTTCTATAAATTAATTATCACACAATTAGAATTTATAGGTGAGATTACTTCTAATCCTTGAGGAAATTTGGATTATACATGCCTATCTTCCTGTATGTTTCTTGCATTTTAATTATTTTTTCAATTCAATTTATTATTTTGTCTTCATGGTTTATTGTAATTTTTCAGAACATCCGTAGAATTAACATTACAAAATCAACAAATTATCAAAAATTACTAAACTTCTTTTTCCTAAGTGTTCATATAAAAAGCCATTACTATAAGGGAAAAAAAACTTTCATAAAAAATATTTTCAAAAACAATTAAGAAATCAAGTAATTTTCAAAAACAATTTTTAAACTTGGAAAAATAAATGATTTTCATTGGTAATGAAGGTTTTATCTCGAAATTAGCAAGAGTAAGGTAAAACACTAAATAAAGATAAAAATGGTGAGTAACTAACTTATAATTTTGCCTTTAGCCATTTGTAACATAAAAATCAAAGTAACTTTATTTTGTTGTTACATTTTATCTATTGTAAATTTATTTATCATAAATGTTCTTGCTTTGTAAATTATGACAGGTTAGAAAAAGATTTGCTAGGATGGGTAAAACGAGTTGAGAAAAAACAAAAGCAAACAGAATCTAACTTTAAAACAGATGTTTTTGATATGAAATCTGCTCTTCCACCTTTGCCTAAGCTGCATTTAAAACCTAAACTGGCTCGTGAAAACAGCAAGGATATATGGTTAGTAAGATTTTTATTATTTTCAAACAACTTTTAAGAGCATATTGATTTCTTATTCCAGTTTCTGATTTTAGGGCTAAAAAGAAGAACAGAAATGAAATCTTAATTTATCAGACGCCCAGAAAAGCATATGAAGATTTTTTTGATGCCATTCATAGACGTGATGATTCTTTTTACTTTATTTCTTTTTCTGGAGTAAGTTACTACTGTTTTTAAAAATATCTTCTTTTTTTCTCTATTTATTTAACTATACAAGAGTGGTTATAATTTCTAATAACAAAATAAAGTGTTTCTGTGCATATCACTCTTGCTACTCCAAAACTATCCTGAAATATTGGACAGTGCTTGAAAGGGGTAATTTTAGCTCTAGATCCTTAAAAATTGTTCAAAAATTTCAGTTTGATCATTCAGGAAAGACATTTGAAAAATGGAATTCTTTCATTTGTTACTACTGTTTTCATACCAACTAAACTATGCCTTAAATAAAACTGCAGATGATTCTGATTTATCAGAAATTTTTTAAATAGCATCATTGATGACTGCTAGCTTATAGCTCTCATGAAACAAAAAAGAAGTTTGCTGTACAATTTTTAATATTTAATTACTTTTATTTGTCATGTCAGATAAACTCATCTCTGTTTCTGCTTTTAACAATTATATCTTCCTTAATGATTATCTAACATAATGAGAATAAAAATTTCTGGAGTGATTTTTTATTTTTTGAAGCTTGTAGACAAAATATATAACCACTGTTTAAAACTTTGCAAATCGTTAATTAGTGTTTGTCATCAAAGTGTGAGCCCCAGCTCGTAGGCTGGAAATCCTTTCCCTAGTTGATAGTCACCCCTATGTTTATTTCAATTGTGAATTTTTCTTTACTGTAGGATCACCTTTTGTTACCTGCAATTGCTCATAATCAAACTCTAAGGCCAAGAATGTCTTTTGTAATGCCTGCCATGACTTTGAATGGTAATATTATATTTTGCTATATCTAAATGTATATATATTCTACTTTAATTATACACTACCGAAATTAATAAAAAAAATGAAAATGTCTATACTATTTAAAAATCTCAGACTAGGCATTTTAATCAAATAAAATGGGACAGTTTTTCTAAATTTATTGTTGTATCGTAATTTATTAATCGTAGAAAGCACAAATAAAATCACAAAAATTGACAACTATTGTCTTAGTTCTATGAACAAGATTTAATGATATGTTAACATTAGAATTAGGAATGGAGCCAATTTGGCCCCTCTCATTTTTTATTGGCTTGTAATTTGAAAAATAACTTACTGAATGCACTGAGTATTTCTGACTTTTCATTATTTGATCCAATTTAATGCTTATTTAATCATTCATGTTTTTGCTCTACATATGTATAGAACCTTATATCTACAATGACTGGAGGGGCTTGGGGGACCTTAGGTATTGTGGCAGGTATGCCATAAACCCCAAGTAGTTTTCAGTGTAAGGTACCTCAGTTTCATTACAAAAAAACGACAGTATTTCAATATATCTGTAAATATTATTTATAGAGAAAAAAAACTGATTTATCTAAAAAGCTAATGTATATGTGAAATTGAAAGGTCAGTGTTTTGTTTAATCAAATATTTTCACTTATGAAGTCTAATAATATACCATAGAATTTCGAGGATCAAGTCTATGATATATTTTTATTAGATTAATTACTATACTGTTCGAATTAGTTAGGACAAATGTAAAAAAAGTGATTTATTGAAACTTTAGCTTTTAATCATTACGTACCTTAAGTTACATTGATACATGTCTGTATTAATATGAAGTATGTCCTCCTTTAGCAGATATGACTTCAAGAACACGTTTTGGCATTGATTCCACTAGTGTAGCGTACATGTTCTTGGCTTCATCGTCGTGGAACCATACTTGAATAGCACTTTTTATCATTTGTTCTGCTGTCGTGCAATTCATCTTGGCTAAGCGATTTTTTAGAATGTGCCACAGGTTCTGAATGGGATTTAGGTCTGGTGAATTACCAGGCCAATCAAGCACTTTTATTTTGTTTTCTGGCATAAAATTCTGGACCAGTTTGGAATTGTGACAAGGGGCCAAATCAAGTGGAAACACTAGATTTCCCTACACCAACTGCTGAAGCGATGTCTCTTACAGTCATAGAAGTGTGTTCATTAAGAGCGATAATTTTAGAGCGCTTCCTCGGACTAATATCAATCTCTTATAAGCACATAACTTGTGTTAGACTAAACTCAAAATTATAACCACCAGTTTCCACACTGAAATGCTCACAACTGAACTACAAATACACTAAAAAAAAGTCAGACGAGTAAATTATAGTGAAGGTCTATCCGTCACCGCAGCTCAAGGCAGATATAACTGGTTTGAAGCTGTTCGGGGCATCACTGGCAATCCCATACCAACTAAAATGAAAAAAATCTTGCTTGTCCCAATTAATTCGAACACTATAGTATGATTATATTTTAAGATTTTAGATGTCTAATTGATCTGCACACAAAAATCTTGCGAGCAAACCTGGCTCCTTCAGTCTTTCTACCAATACAGCATTGTTCACTATTTCTAGTATTAACTCATATAATATAGCTATTCTGTATTGAAGCATGTCTATGGGTGTTTAATTTCACTCATGTTATTCTTATCTTCATCAGATATTTCCTTCCCTAGTTCAGTGCAATTATCCCCAAAAGAATTGCAAGTAGTACATTTCTTTTTAGATTTGTAAAAATAACTTTATAATTTGTAGAATTATCTATTTTCATTTTCAAAAAACAAAAAAAATTGCTAGTGTAACTTTTTAATTATTAAAAACAAACGAATTGATCACAACTGTGATTTTTTTCCATATTAATATTTTGTTCCATTTTCAGCAGCAACGAGGATGCTGCCTAAAACTGTCATGGCAAGGAATAACTGTTGCAAATTCTAGGTAGTTTTGATAATAGCATATTATTCACAATAAAGAATCAAAACAGAACCTTTAGAAAATGCTTAAATGCTTTTCATTCTTTGTATTTTCAAAATAAGCATTGAAATATTTTTATACTTTCAAATAAATATTGAAATTGAGTCAACGAAACAATTTAAAAGCGCTAAAATATTTGAATGCTAGCTAGGATTCTTAAATTGCCATGGCAACTAATTCTTTAACCTGTAGTATATATATCAATGGATAGTTCCTAAATTATTTGTTCTTATAAATTTGTTTTGTTGTTTTTTGTAATTTTATATATTAATTTACTGTTTTTCTTTATCAATTCTGTTTAGATTCTGTGGATTCTGAAGATTATATTAGTATGATGCAAATAGACTGTGAAGTTATAGACACTAAGTTAGTGTCAATTAAAGAGTCTGTTATTCCTTCTCATTTACGACAAAAGCATAATAACACGTCAAAGCCGAGCTCAAAAAATAGGTCTAGATTCACTCTAAATAAAAATTCTAAACAGTTGCACACCACCAGAACAGTGAACTCATCGCGTTAGATATTTTTCAGCTGCTGAAACCAGAGAAAAGCATTTCAAAATAGCATTTTACTGATAATATGAGTACTGCAGTTTTTTTTTCATTCGCTCTAGTAGTGTGTTATGTATTATCTATTATTACACATAATATATCAGATTTTTTATGCAAATTGTTTTTTTTTTTTTTTTTTTTTTTTTTTTTTTTTTTTTTTTTGTTAAAAATATTTCTAGCCTTCATGTGCAAATACATTGCCTTGTTGATCTTCAAATACTTAGGTTATGCTATATTGATATTTTAATTTTTGCTAATTGATTTCTCTTCTTGAGTTTTATATTTTTCTGTTGTACTATTTACTTTCCAAAATGCATTTGTCTGATATGCTCCAGTGGTATTTATTTGTTGCCCTGTTCAGATGTGCTTTCAACTTAGTTGTAGTATTTCAAAATAACTTTTTAATAGTGAGATTTGAAAGAAAGCTTAGCTCACTTATTTAGACTTTGAGCAAAGCTCAAGGTATGTGATGTGACTTTAAGTAAATGAAAAGTGTCTGCTTTAGTAATAATAATTTATTATCACCCTGTTGTAATAATGTACATTACAATTTGTTACAATTACAATTTATTACAATTTTTCATGACAAGACTTAATAGTAAAATGCATATTCACCTTGACAACTTCAATTTTGTCATTGTTTAAAAAATAATTTAAGCTACCATCTAGAGCAGTGGTTACCAACTGGCGGCCCGTGGGCCACATCCAGCCTGTGAACTAAAATATATTAGTTGTCATTTTTTGCGGACAATTTTCGTTAAAATTCTATATGGGTTTAAAATACTTTTCTTTCGTTAAAACCCCTAATTTCTTCGTTTCTGTAAAATTTAACATGCTAATGGCGCCAACAAAAATAAAATTATCAGGTTTTGCATCCAAGAAAATATTTATTCAAATACAAAAATCGTGTATGTTGCTTAAAAATTTTCTTAGAATTTTAATTAGTAATTTAATACGCTTGTTTTGTAAAACTTGATAAAAATCTGACAGTAATATTTAATGTTCCTTCAAACATAAAAGAGTCCTAGATAAAATTTTGATAAAGTTGCGGCCTGCCATTTGACTTGTGTTTTTAATTGCAGCCTCATGCAAGTTGGAAACTCCTGATCTAGAGCAACAGTTCCCAACTTAGGTGTGATTTCTCCCCTCAATGGGTCGATGAATATACAAAAGAAAATAGAATAGAAGAAGAATAAAAAAAACTAGAGAGAGTTATGTGAGGAAAAAAACTATTAAAATTACCTCATCCTAATGCCCAAGTGTCTATGACAGAGATTGACATGAGAATTCCTTCCTCTGCTTCACACAGATGCACTTTTCTGCATTTGACTTTCAAGCATGCTGGCTGAGTGTCTTTTGCTTTTTTTTTTTCCAACATAATTTTTTTTTTTTTTAAATCTGCCTTTTAGAATTTTAAGCCTCTGCGATTTCAAGCGTTTTTGAAGAAAGTTCATCGTTTTCAAATTTCCTAAAAAGAGAAATGATTAGTTTTCATGCCTTTTTCTATGTATGCAAACACAATTTAAAATAATATCCACTTGATTTAAAATCACACATCATGTTTCTTATTTTCACGATAGTATATCATATATCGCTTAAAAAGCCAATATTATGAACGTGTTCTTAAAAACATATATATTTTTTGATTTTTTTTTTATCAAACTTATTCGTGTGGTAGCAATCAATATGTATTTTCATAAAAATTAAATCAGCTTCAAGAAAAATCTTATCAAACAAATTTGACCAAATAGATGTGGTGACGGAATAGATTAAACATGTTGCGAAAGTTAATTAACTGCTTGCTGAAAATACGGCTAACGAATATTGAAATAGAAAACACAGACGAAAACGATCATTCGTAGTTCAGATAAAGAATCAAGAGTTTTAAAAAAATTAAAGTTTATGAACTTTCTCTTCATATTTTGGGATGAATGGAGGTCTGTCTTCCAGATCCTCCCAGAATTAAGAAATAGTTTGAACGTATGCTTGAAAGCAGACCACTAAGGAACATTCATGCTTTAACTGAACACACAAGGCTGTTAATCTAAAGATGAACAATGGTTTTCAAATTTTAACCATCAATGTTTTCAATTTTCACAGATTCCGATTAAATATATATATATATATTCTCCTAGTTTTAATTATTTTCTTTAAATATCTGTTCTTTTTGAAAAAGAAGAAAAACTTTGAAATTCAGTATTATCCATGCTTGCTAGTGACAACTCACTGTTTTTTAAGAAAGAAAAAAAGAGGGGGGGGGCATGGGAAAAAGTTTTTGAACCACTGCTCTAGAGCATTTTTGTTACAACATTCAATTAGAACTTAGTTTGTGTAAACCTTTTCATTATTAAAAATTTTTCCCACCAGTGTGTGTGTGATAGTTTATTTATATTATCAACTGATTTTGTTTAATCATAAATGCTTATTTCTCTATTATTTTACTATTTCTAGTCACATTATTGCACACTGTTTAATTTTACGATTGTTAAATCAAAATATTTCCATGACAGGTTCAGTATTAACAGTTTTCATTGTAAATACCATATCAATAGTGAGTGTATTTTGTTTTATTTTGTACATACATTTTATAGAGTATAATATGCCTGATAATTATGTTCATTCATCCTAAAGTACGTTGTGTTTAATCATAAAATATACGAGTTTCTAAAGGAACTATTGCATCATTTTGAACAAAATTGAACCCTTCTTTTTGAATTTATGGTTTCCATTTTATTAAACTACATCCATTAAAGCTTGATATATATTAATTTGCACCTTAACCATGAACTAGGAAAATAATTATATTCAAAATAGTTTGCTTTTCTATTTTAATGTGTATATGATATTGCTTAAAGAAGATATACACTTAACAGTTTCATTAAATTCTACCTAGTGCAAACAATAATGAATAGGATTAACTTCTAATTATTATTCTAAATAGAAGTAACCAAATTACATACTTACGCAATTATAATTAACATTTCTGATTCACAATTATTAAATCTGCTTAAGCAAAAGTTGGTATTTAAAAGCAAGGTAGTACCTAAATTTAGTCCGCTTTGCACCTCCTTCCTTAAATGCGAGATATAATTTAGTATCTGTTTTTTGAGCATTAGATTCACATAAATCAAAACTAATTTTGTTAGAGATTAAATCAAAGAAAATGGAGATTTTGATCTGTTCTATTTATAATCTGCTGGCTGCAACTGAACATTAACCAGTTTGCATGTAGGGTAAAAATGCATATGTTACAAAATCATTTATAGTAAGTGGCAGGTTAAGTTAGGATATTACAAAAAGTTAATTAAAATTTTTAAAAAATTAGTTGCCCCTTTCTGAATAAAGCTATGAGAAAACATTAAATTAAAATTAAAAGATTTGTATATTTTGATATGTTCTATTTATAATCTGCTGGCTGCAACTAAACATTAGCCAGTTTGCATGTAGGGTAAAAATGCAAATGTTACAAAATCATTTATAGTAAGTGGCAGATCAAGTTAGGATATTACAAAAAGTTAATTGAAATTTTTAAAAAATTAATTCCCCCATTCTGAATAAAGCTATGAGAAAACATTAAATTAAAATCAAATGATTTATTTTAAAATACTGTCAACCTTAAATGTTTTGTTAAAAGGGTTACAATTTGAGAATACATTAATTAAAAAATAATGCATGCATTATAATTTTATTTCTTGAGAATGTTAAGTTGAAATCAAAAAATATTGAAATCACTTAATTTCAAACTCATTCAGATGCACAAAATTCACTTGTTAAATTCACATTCATTTGATTATATATTTTGTGTGATAAAGTTTTTGTTCACCTATTATTGTTTATTATTTTTTTTAATGTTTTAGGTTTTCTTTTAAATAAAAGTGCTGAATTGATCAAAAGATAAGATTTCTTTTAAGAAATTATCGTCCAAAAATATATTTGGTTGCTTTTTGATATAACAAATTTGAAAAATTTGTCTTTTTTTAAAAATTTTACATTTAGAAAACTATATAAAGTGGTGACTTGCTTACTTGGTATGCTGTTTTGCATATGAAATGTGATGTTTCTTTTGTAATGTTTGTTAATAAGATTCATATAAGCATACATTTTTTAAACTATTATTTGGGAATAAATATTGTTCTGACCTATTTGAAAGTATACTTAAACAGTTTCAGTGGTGATTACCAATAACATTACTCACTAATAAATGTCTCTTTCTTGCAATAAGGAAAAACAGACTGAGTAATTATTTTTTTAGCACATAGACGTTTATGTGTCAATAATTAATGATATCATAGGTTTGCACAGAAATAAAATAATGTGCAGTATTATCCATGCATTATCTTATATAATTAAAGTATGTAATTACTTTCTTATTATTTATTATATTCTTTATATTGTCTTTTAAACTAAGCCTTTAAATAGAATATTTTATGCATGCATAAATGTTTCATGATCCTTTTTTTTAATTTATTTTTTTATCTTTTCTTAAATTGATATAAAATTATTTGGAGCAATTTCAGGCTTTTTAAGTGACGAAATAATATCCAGTAGCCATTGAATGGCTTGCGATAAAAGTCGAAGTCTTTATTTTTGCATTTTAACTCATCAAAATCAGTTAACCAGTAAATAACAAAGGAAGTCATTTGCATTCCTAATATAATATATAATTAGTATATAACAATGTTTAGTTATCTGTTTCATGTTCTAACATGAAATTAAGATATTTTATACAGATTTAATGTTATCTTTGTAAAAGGTACCTATTTATTGAAGTCATAAAATATGTCTTATCTAATCAATAAAATACCATCACTGAAATTAATTAACGCATTATTTTTCGCTTACGTTTTAAATGAAAAGAGAGAGAGATTTGAAATAGAACCTTCTGAATCTGTTAATCAATATTCAGAAAATTTTGCTTTTCACAAACTCTCACTAAAGAAAACGTTTGACAACTATTAAAAGATGTGGTGATTTTTTTTTTTTCGATATTTATCATTTATATTGAAACCAAGCAAAATCTTAATACAATAAAATAGAAAACTCACTTTTTTTTCAAAAATATATGTAGTTGATTATGAATCTGTGCTACTCAAATTGCATCTTAATTTTTGATTAAGATTAATTTTTGATTATTTTACTTAATTAAATATTTTTCTATTATACCTTACAACTGAATGTAACAAAACTTAATTTTGAAACTTTATTAAATTTTTAGAATATTGTAATAGGTTTGACATTAATTTAAATTGTGTATAAAATTAGATCAAAATTGTAATGTTTTTATTTATATGTTATGAAAAAACTAAAACTATGTTTATTGTTTGTAACTAGACTTATTGTTTGTAACTTTTATGTTTCAAACTAGAGTAATTTTACAAACCAATTTTTAGATAAATTTTATCAAGATGGAGTTCTAAATTTTGTAAATGTCCAAACATTTAATAATTTTCATTATAAAATCCACTGATTCAAATTCACTAGAATTAGATGATTTTATTTATTAATTTTTTTTTAAATTTTTTCTTTAAATGACTTTTTTTTTCCAGTAAAACATAATCTCTTACTTATTACATTATCCTTCTCCTATTCCAACAGAAATTGAAAAGTTGATATTAAAATTTTTATGAATACACATTTTTACAATCATTTATAATAATTTTTTTTTTAAATATCTACTTCAATATTTAAATAATTAAACATTTTAAATTTCTGTTTTTAGAAGAAAATTTTTTCTTTTATATTACTGTTAATGTTTAAAAATTATCTATAATTGCTTATTTAAAAATATTACACAGAAATTGCAATTTTAGTATCTGTAAACAAATAAAGGCAACTGTAAATAATTTATGATTATAATATCCAATTAAGTAGTAGCATTTACTCTACACTGTTAAATATTTAAAGCATTTCTTTTGTTTGTTTTGGTATTTAAAAGAGAACCACATAATAGTTTTTATTGCAAAAAGCATAAGGTTAATTTGGGAGCATTTTATCTTGGTCTGTTATATGTAATATCTTATGCTTATTTTTTCATGAATTCAATAATACTGTGATAGTCTTTTTTTTAATTTTATACTTGTTTGTTTGATGGACTAAATAATTGTACCGAAATATTAATTTTATGTGTTTGTATTGTATAAGCTTTATTTCTTAATTTTATAGTAACTTATGAGACTATTTAGGGGTTATTGTTTAATATTTATAAACTAAGGGAGTTTATGTATGTACACTTGATGATATTGTAATTAATCTATATGCAATAAACCTTTTTAATTTGGATTGTGTTAACGACTAATTCATTGAATTGCATGTATGAATTGAATTGCATGTATTGTTTCTGTACAGTATTGCCTAGAGTAGCTGTAAAATTGCCTTTATTATAATTCAAAAATATCTCAATCATTAACAATCTAAATATTAAAAAAAAAAAAAAAAAAAAAAAAANATTGCACTGGATAAGTAGGTTTTATAATAATGTGCAAAAGATTTTTGATATTCTCAGAATATTTCACAAACTTTACATTATAAGGTGCAAATTTTTACTTACTAGGGTCATGTTTCCCAGATTGTTACTACTACCTTCAATCTTAATTTTTAAAATATTGAATCAGGCTAACAGAAAGGTGTGTTAATTTTGAGCAAGTTTTTCTTCTTTTGGTGCGAGGGGACTATAATTGTAGTTGTTAAGCTTAAAACCATTTAGATTATATGTTAGTAAAAGAAAATCTCATTAAGGGGCCTTCATACCGACTGCAACAACGACAAATCGCATGTTGCAGTGACTTACCGCATGCACACTTCCTTCATCCTGCCTCTGTTGCAACATCCAGTGATCGCTGTCGCACTGGTTTCAAGAATTGGATGGGGTTCAATTTTCGTCGCTGTTGCAGACTCAGAGATTCAATCCGATTCAGACATATTTCTAATTTCAAAGGAAAAATACAATGAAATCACGTATGATTTTAATGTTAACATCATTCAGAACATAGTGACTTATATTTATATAAAATATTTGAAAGATATTTTTGAAATATATATATTAAAAGACATTTTTATTACAAAACTGTATTTTAAATGTTCTTATTTATATAAATCTTTGTTGAAATTTTTTTAAATATATACAAAACAATATAAATTTTTAAAAATATATATTGATAGGTCTTGATTTAGAGACAGTGTTTCCAACTTCATAAATTCCTAAGATAAATTTTTAAAATTATAAAGTGGAATTAATCTGCTAAAGGTATAAGCTATTTTAGTGAGTTTTGATAATTATGAAAAATGCATTGAATAGATACTTTTCTTTATTTAATTCTCTATAAGTATTTTGAATTAATTGTGAAAAACTAATAGCATACATTTTTTCTTCAATGAGTTCATTTTACGCATTTTTAATTGTTCATGCACAAGTGAACAGAATATATATTTAAATGCATATCTGTTTACTTTTATTTGCTCTTCATTACAGATATTCTCAAGTGGTAGTAAAATAACTATTAATAATCAATTGTACATAGAATCATTTATGAATTTTGCTAGAACAGAACTTGACATTCAAATAAATATCAAGCTGTTTAAATTAATTCTTTTTATACTTGTTAAGATAACTTTAAATTGATATTATTAAACCATGAATAAAAAATTAAAGCATTACTCTTGAAATCATTAGAAAATAAAATTAAAATGCTCTGAAAAATAAGGAAAAGCATTATTAAAATATTAGAAAGCAGTATTTTTTAATTAGATATTTTTTCTTTTTAAAATGTAAATTCTATTAAAAAGTAGTTATTATTAAAAATTATAACATTTGTTTTATTAGAACAAATTATCGAAAAATACTATTATGTTTTATAAAGAAATGCAAAGCAAACACTAAAGAGAAAAAGGCTAACTTTTTTAATTTGTTGAAACTGTAGTTAATTGTAAAAAAATTATTTTCAATTCAATACTACTCTTGGTTAATGAAGGGACCATCAATGGGTAATTATTATAAAAACTAAAATTTTGAATGAAAAGTTTTGGAAAATTCCGTACGAAATTTTGATTTTGTAAATTTTATAAATACAACAATAGTGCACAAAACTGTTTCCTTAAGTTTTCTTTTCATAAGCAACTTCATAAATAGAATTGCTTAAATTTTTATTTGCATGAAATCAGATCGATCTTTAGCTTAAGAAATAAAAAAATTTTAGCGAACGGAAGAAAGCTGTATTTTTTTTTTTTTTTTTAAGTGTAAATTGGTTATTCTGCAAAAACTAGGTATTGTTCATTATGATCGGGTCAAATTGGGTAAATATAGAAATGATAAAAAAGAGGCCTTTTTTCCAATTTAAATATTTTCATTTCAAATTAATACTATGATTTTATTGCTCTGAGAAACTTAATGTGACAGTACCATTCAGCAGGAAAAAGTGGTCTAGCATATTTAAAACGTGACGTAAGATTTAATTCCCTTTTTTTTTTATTACACTTTTTGGAAAATGTAATTTTATTCAAAAGTAGAACATAAATGAAAAAAAGAAAAACACTCATACTCTCATGTACTTCTCATAAAGTAGTATCTCCTAATGGCCATATTATAAAGGGTCACCAAACAATAAAAGGTGTCCATTTTAAAATGTTGTGAAAGTGGCTCCACTCGGAAATTCCGTAGAATGAAATATTAATCTCATAAATTCCTATCAACTTGCGAATGTAAGAAAAACCTTTATCGAAGCATTTGTATATGGAAATAAAATCCTTTTTATCACTTCTATCTAAAATGTTAAGTTGCAAACTTGATATATTTGTTATATTCAAAATATTGTTCGCAATAATGTTCTGAAAACAATATTTTTGATAATGAAATAATTTCTGTTTTTCATTTTTCTTACCTTTTTTTCTTTGAATTATTTAATATTCCATTAATTTATTTTTATTTAATTCTTAATATTCCATTAATTTATTTTATTTAACAAAATAAAAATACACATTATAGCCAGAAAAAATGTGTTTTCTTTCCATAAAAAGATTAAGTATTAAAAATTAGTAGACAAAATTATAATACAAAAACAAAAAAATAAATAATTTTGTATAAATTATTGATACAATATTTGTAAAAATGTGATGCAAAATTTATTTTGGCAATTTATGAGGAATCTTGTAATGAAATCATAAAGTAATAAAAATATAAAAAGTAATGTATCTATAAAAAATAATAATATAAATACAAAAAATAACGATAAAATGAGCTATGAAACAAAAATTAGATACAGAAGAAAGTGTATACGCTAACCAGGAAACAGGTTTGTTGTCACATGCGGTGTGAAGGTACTAGCAATCACTTGCAACAGAGAAGCGAAATTGTGTTTCGCATAGCTGTTGCATTTGGTGTGAAGTAAACTTTAGAGCAAAGTTGTTCGAATTTTGTATCCTTATATATGTGCAGTGTACATTTCCTTCTGCTTCAGTAACATTGAAAAATTTTATGCATCAATACTATTGGAGCATTTATTAATGATAAACACTTAATTGGAGACTATTCACTTTCATCATATAGTCTTAACATAATTTTTATCCTAAAGTTAATTGTAATGGACAACTAGACAAATTTTCAGTTTGTGACCTAACTAAGCTAACTGTTAACAAAGCTTAAACTAAAACGTAAATATGTTCTTCACAAAGCAAATCTTTGCTCTGCATATAAACAAAAACCAGCTTTGAAGAGGTTTTCCCTTTCTTAAACATACACAAAGCAGAGTTTGTTATGTAATAGAACCTGTTGTACCTTTTTCCTTGCTTCGAACATCACTGTACTTATGAGACAAACATGAACATTCAAACCAAAACAGCTAAGAGGCTTCTCCCCATTCACGTTGCGTATTCAAGAGAACTTAACTTTGGAGAGATGAGACGATTTGCAATTTTTTATTTTTGTTGAAAAAGGAAAATGATAAGAGCAATGTTAATAAAAGAAGCTAAATTCACATTTACATAAAAAATCTCAAATAAAAATGCAAAGATATTTTTTAAAATTATTATTAAGAATAAAAAAAAATTTATGTTAGAGGAAGATATAAAATTTAATTTTTTAGATGAGGGTACAATGCAATGAAAACATACTTATGTAATCTACTTGAATTGTTAAGATCCAATTGAATGTCAGAAAAGGTTAGAATGCAATTAACATAGCATGTGATTTCATTTAGTTAGTAAATCTGATTTGATATATTTTCATTTCATGAATACTGTATGCTTGCTAAAAATCAGATAGAACATCTGTTAGCATTTCTGCAAGATGTTTACATATGATCAGTTAAGCTGAATTTATTTATAATATTGAGAATTGATTTTTACTCCCTTTTCAATAAAAACAAATAGGAGTTTAACTCTTTTTGAAATGGCCCCTTCCAAATCATTACAGGTGAATAATTTCGACAACGTGGAGCATATTGCTGGTTCTTAAGGTTATTATAAATAGAAATTTTCCATATTCTATCATTTTGAGGGTCGAGACAGTTGCTGCATAAGAAATAGTTTCTCGTCTGAGAAGACAAACTTATTCCAAGCGTATAGTATTTACAACAAAACTGATGCAAAATTTAACTTAAATTAATAGTTGAAGTATTCTGAATTGTATATTTAGCTATAAAATGATGTTCCAACAAGAATAGAACGAATGATAAATTTAAAAAAGGTACGTATTATCCCGTCGACCATTTTCACCAAATTTGAAAATAAATTTTGAAGAGGTTTAAATTTAAATATCTCATTTTTTGCAATAAGTTACATTTATATTTTGTCAATTTCTTATAATTAATTACTTTTATAAAATAAATTTAAAAGATACCAAAATGACTTTGGTGCAATGATGGATAATACGCAAGTACCTTAAAAAATGCATATTTTTGAAAAAATGTCCTCTGGAACAAAAAAATTTTTTTTCCTCTAGAAAAATGATAACTCTATAAAAAAGCATATCTAACATTTAGAAAACCCATAAATGTTTAATTACTGAAACATTAAAAGCACTGAGTGAGAAACACAAATAATACAAGAGCCATACAACTTTATTCTTTATTTTTCTACTTTAGTCTGAATCTAATCTACGTCGTAAAAACATTCATTTTTAAACAATGTTATATATGCTTTGAAAAAAAATTATGTTTTAATAAATATGAGATAAAATAAAACGTCTCTTTGCACAAACTTCTATGCCAGTGACATTCAGAAAAAGGGCAACAGCCTGAGGCAGCCAAACAACGAGGTGCATCCTTTCGATTATTAACCCTTTGATGCAAGTAGGACACTGGTTTGCTGCTTCTTTTTTTTTTTCCCGACGCTCTATTTACAAACAATAATATATTTTAGAATTTTTTAATTATAAAAACCAATTCAATAGCCACTAAAAAAATCTGTTAGATTATTGGAATTATATTTGTACTAAAATATAAAAAGCATGAAAAATATTTTTTTCATTCATATTCAAAAATTTATCAATAATTGATTACGTAAATTAAAGAAATTTCAACAATGAACTATGCTTTTCTTAGATCTAAATAACTGATTTTAAAAATTATTATTCGGAAGGTTTTATCTTTAACGCAGAAAAGTCACCAATTTTCATTTCATAACCATAAATAATTAAAATGCTAAATATAATATTTTTCACTTATTTGGCTATTAATACAAAATAATGAAAAAAGTATGAAAAATATGTTTCATAAAAATTTTACATCAAAAGAGTAAAAACACTAACTTTTTTACAGGTACAAGTATTTTTTTATTATGAAATCGATTTTTTTTAACAGATAAATATTTAGCTCAAGCATAGTATTATACAAAGAGCTCTGATTTTCTTACAAATTTAACATTAAAGTTTTAGGTCATTTTGATAAAAAAATATTCTTAAAGAAAAACTTAAGAATCGTTTGTAGTTAGGATATAAATATTTTATCACACAGAAGAATTAGGTAGGTAAAATGAGTTTGAAATAAAAATTCAGATTTATATAAATCTATGTATAACGTGCCAATGCATTTTTTTCCTCATTAAATAGGCTCGGATTTTTTTTTCTGTTGCCCTCTAAAGTGATTACATAACTTTTCTTTTCTTAAGGAAATTTAATTGAAGTTGAGCTTCTGGGTGCCACTGTTCCATGTTTAGTACTGAGTTTTAAAATAGTACAAAAAAATAATTAATTCCAGCATCTAATTATAGTTGTAATAAGTCATCATGGGACACAGTTTGGTGCAACATTAAACCAAGAACACTGCATCGATTCGCCATTTGTTGACGAATGTTCCTTTCTTGTTCAATTAAATCGTCTAATTTGAAGAGAACTCTCATTCTATCCAGATCAATTTCTGCTTTTCTAAATTTTTCCCACTGATGATGCTTCACGCATTTTTTTTTAAGAGCACGACAAAACTCTTCTTTGTATTTTCCATCCGTAAGAGGACAGCCACAAACTTCATCGTCTGATACTTTAGGTTCTTTGGAATGTTCTGGACATAATATTTTAAGACGCTTGCAATAAGTTCTTTGTTGAGCATTATAATAGTCACAAAATATGTTACTTCCTTCAATGTTTGTTTGATAAAAGGAGCCAAACGAAGTTTGACTTTCATATTTGTTGAAACATTTTTCCATATGTTTTAGAGCATTTTTAGCACCAACTTCATGTCCACAGGTGACACAATAGATACTAATTTCAGCTTCTTCTGTTTCCCCTTCTAAGCTTTCTTGATCAGCAGCAAATGATGTTCTTTTGGCCTTTTCAATGGTTCTTTCAAGATTTTCTTGCTTTTTGTTCAGCTCAGATAAACGATCTTTAGCGTCCTGTAATTCCCGTCTTATTTTCTCTAAAGATTTTCTATTATTTTCATCAGCAACACTGACAGATCTTTGCCACTGCTGAATTCTATGTGGAAGTATCTCATAAATTCGATTTGTTGCCAGCTTTAAACCGCATTCATCGGAACAATATTTAGAATTTTGCAAAGCTGGAAAAACACAGCCAGGACCAAAACACTGTCTAAGAGTATCATTATCCTTTTTGCTGGAATTCTTCTCCTTTTCATTATGCTTTTTACGATGTTCGATTTTTCGACCTTTATGCTTTTCAACTTGCCTCCCCGATCGTCGCTTGTGCCTGGAATTTGAGTGAGAAGATCGTCTTTTATAAGGATCATAGTCGTCATCTCTGTCATCATCCTCGTCTTCATCATTGGAATTTCTGGCTTGTAAAACAGGAGGTGGCTCAATAAAATTAAATGTTGGATCTTTATCTTCAGTTTCATCACTTAGAAAATCAGGGATACTTTTTGGTTTTTTACCCACTTTATGCCCAAAGTTCATGCACTGCCTCTGTCTGCATTTTTGCCTCAATTTATTTTGTCCACCAAATTTTCGCATATCTTTACAGTAATCACATCGTCCGCAATCTTCATTTCGATAACAAGCCACACATTCGCCACATCTGCGATTTTTTCTCTTATCCTTAATGTCATCATCAAAAGTAACAGTAAAATTTTTAACAATATCAGAATCAACTTTCTTCAGCACCGATTTTTCTTTCTTTTCCTTAAATTGTATGGCTAAACTTGGATCTCTTTCTCTGCACATCAAACAAAAAAACTGTTTAATATTTTTTGCATATTCTTCAGTTATACTTATGCAATCACCATGGTACCATTCATTGCAACTATCACAACCAATCATGAAGCGATTGGTATCTTTAGTTCGACAAATGCAGTAAACTAATTCATCATCATCATTTCCATCACTGTCAGAATCCCTGACAGCAGGAGGTTTAGAGTAACTGTGCAAATGATCAGATTTACTGTCGCCCATCCAATTGCTACTTTCTTCCGATGAGTCCATGTGGATTTTATGATTTTAATAAGTAAATACTGAACACAGCAGTAGATATTCAAGATATCAGGTATTTCTTAGTTAAAAATATTTGATCAAGAATATTAGTTGTTTACTTGTTCACAAGATCGCGATACGAATGTAAACAAGAGCAGTATCTATTGCCAAATATATTCTAACAAATACTTGTGTATCACTTCGAGCGAAATAGTATTAAATTGTAGCGGACAACAGCTTTAAAAATTAAAGAATATAAATTGCTCTGTCTAAAAATTTCCAGAGTCAATTTTTTTCGATTTATAAATAAATATTAATTAAACATAGTAATTTCTTTTTCTGAAATGGACTTTCAATGAAAGGTTTTTAGATAGACAACTTTTTCTTCTGCGTGATCCGAATTTTTTAAACTGCGTTCAAAAACACACATTTTTATTTGAAACTACCATTTAGAAAGTTACTTCTGAACAAAAAATTACTATTTACGTTCTCTCCTTCTGACATCTTGAAAGTCGAAGTTTGTAAACAAGAGTAGTCGACGTGAAATTAAACTTTCGCGATTAAGAAATTATATTTAAAATTCGCCACTCTTACTTGACTTATAATTACTGAATATCAGAAAAAACTACATTTCAGTGAAATGTAAGTCTTATAAATCAGTACTTAGCTGTAATAGGTCATTATAACCTTATTAAAAGCATGTTTGCGGGATTATAAATTGAATGTTTATATTTGATGAAAAAAATTTTTATTCGCTTTTGATATGAAACTTTTTAAATTCTATTTTTGTGCATGTAATAAAATTACAACATATAATGTGCAAGGTATAAGTCTAACTGTTTGTTGATCATTCTAAGCAAAGTTTAAACTGATATTTTGTAACTGTTCTAAAAATTTATTAAAATTATATTTAACAGTTCTACTAAAATCTTAGTTTTCGTACTACCTTTTCACAAATACATTTTAAATTTCAAAAATCAGGAAAAAAAAAGAGTTTGTGAATTAAAGATAGGAAAATTTATATTTAAGATTTTACTCTTTCCACAGATTCTTTGTGATAATTTTATATGGTTATTAATATTGCTGGGTGATATTGTAAACTTAATACCCAAACATTACATCTGTAAATACTGTGAGGATATTCTACATAGGAACCTGTTTGTGCACTGATCATTATGGAAGTTGTTAAAACTTGACGATTATTCTGTTGCAGATCACGATACGGAAATCTTCCCTGTACCCTCTAGTTTGCTCTTTTCTTTTGATATTTTTTTAATTTCTGCCTAGATGTCACCAAAACTTGGCAATTAATTGAATGCAGATAGTTATACAAAAATATTCTTCGGATTCATATTTTTTTATAAGCATTGTTATTTATCTAACTGAACTACTTGGAATATTTCCATTTCATAATCTGTGCCAAAAAATAATCAACAAGTATCCGCGATTTCCATGCAGTGATCAGTGAGAAACTAAAAAATCTTCACAGAAAGGAATCAACTCATATTGACACCTGGACAAACCAATAAATGTTTTCTCTTTAAACTTGAAAGTTTAAAATCCATTTGGCATCTTGGCAACTATAAAAAGCTCTTCAGATCACGACACGGAAATATCCCCAAGCTATTTTACATTATCAATAGTTTTGTAAGCCCTAATACAGTGTTTCCTAAAGTGTGGTATGCGTACCCCCAGGGGTACGGGAGCAGTTTAGCAGGGGTATGCGTTCTTATGCGAAATATCCTGCAACTAACGAAATTTCAAAAAATTTTATTTAAAAACAGTGCTGGCCATGAAAATTTATGATTACGTATTTTTCTATTGGCTATGTTTTGCAGAGTTAACAGTTAATAACTATTTCTGTCAACAGCCAGTTGTGATTTTTAACTGTAGTGTAATTTTTTTTATAGTAAGAAATACATTAATTTCTTTATTAGTGGTACACAGCGGTACGAAAAATTTAGAAAGGGTACACAAAAGTCATAAGTTTGGGAAACACTGCCCTAATAGAATCCCTCATATCAACATTCATGATAATATCATATGTCATAACTATTGAAAATACTTGATATATTGATCATAATATTATTGCATTGCATAATTATCCTTATTAATTGTACTCGCTGCACTATCCTACTTCATATTTATCATTATTGATAATGATCAAGATATTATGATCAAAATTAATCATATACTCAATATTGTAAGATATAGTGTGAGAATAATTCTTAAAATACCATTATAGCAATGTTCTAATCAAATCAATATTTCATATTAGGAATGTAACAAATATTTAGCCACTATTTAATATTCTGCCTATTCGGCCCTTTTGCCAAATATTTGGCTGGACGAATGTTCGGCAAAGTATTATTTCCAAAATAATTTTTAAGTTTTTTTTTAGGGCAGGGGGATTTTTATAGATTTAATAAAGAATAATTTAAAATTTTGCATTTTTACTATACATTATTAGAAGTAGTTTTTACACATATTTAAGTTCTGAAACTTGTTAATTTAAGTTCTCAAAGACACAGGAAAAAGTGAAAGTAAAAGAATTGAAACTAGATTAGTTTATACTGAACCATGAGTTTTGTAATGCTGATCATGAGTTTTGTAATGCTGATTTTTAAAATTTTTTTAATCATATTTGGCCAAGTCAATTTCATCGGTTTTCAACATTTTGTTTTTAAAATTGAGAACTTTTTTGTTTCATCCTTGCATTTTCTTTTTAAACTAATACACAACATATTAACAATGCATTTCTAATTGATTTTTATTCTTTTATTGTCACTTTTTTCTTGTATTAACATACACGTTTTGTATGTTTTCTTGTATGTTAACTAGTAACATAGAAAACTGTCATTCTTTACGTTAAAGTTATATTTCAGAACCAAGACCAATTTTTTTTCTGTTTTGATTTTTTTTTGTTAACTTTTCTATTTATCAGCATTTTTATTGTGACAGTATTTTTTAATGAGCATTTCTAATGAACCTGATTCTTTTATTTTCTCTTTTTTTTTTTTTTTTGTTAAAATATGGCATTGTAAAAAAGTTAAATTAAGATTTTTAACCTTAAATCTTTTGTTTAAAAATTAAGATTAGTCTTTGTTTTGGTTTCTATCTAGCTATTCTATTTGGTTTCTATTTGTCAAAGAACTTTTGTTTTTAAAGGCTAATTTATTATGATCCAGCAATTAAGAGGGTTTCTATTAGAATTTAATGATTTCCTTGAAAATATGGTAATGAGAAAACTGAAATGTTCAGCTTTAAATTTTTCCTTCAAAAATTAGGATTGATTTTTTTTATTTCTGTTTGGTTTTTGTATAAAATCTTTGTTTTTTCTGCAGGTGGTTTTATGGTAGCTCTGCATTTTTATAAGCATCTCCGATAGACATGATCTCTTTTCATGTTTTTTTTTCTCCAGAAAATGATATTTTTAGCATTAAAATTTTGTTGGTACTTTTCTATTTCACCAGCGCAGGAGATAAAGTCGTCAATGCAAAGTTACTAAGTACAAGTAAATTAAATTGTGTTTTTTTTTTAAGTTTTTCTTTTAAAAAATAAATAAATACATAAAATAGCCTAAGTTACTTGCACTGACGAAATGGAAAAGTGCCGTTTTGTTTTAAAAATTAAAAAGTTATTATTTTTCTATTTCTTTCTTTTTTGTTTTTTTTCAACTTTACAACTTCAGTTTTCATTTTCTTTAATTGCTGTTAGTCAGTTTTTTTTTATCTTAAATATTTGTAATTCTCTTAATGTCTTATTATCTTAGACATTTCTATTAAAGTATTTTCCCTTGACCCCATATCAATATAATACAGCTAAGTTTTGATTATTTTTCAATGACTGATCTTATTTCTGTATAAAAAATAATATTTATTAATGATTTTTTTCATAAAATGTTTTTTTGCTATTTGGCCGCTAAACATTATTCAGCCAAATTCAAACTATTCAGCCAAATCACTATTCGTTACACCTCTACTTCATATTATGATATCACCCTCTGCTGTAACTACTAATTACCTAAAAAACTTTTATTTTAGGATTAAGCTTTTGATTGTTAACTACATAGCTTCTTAGTTTACTCCTCTTTCATTTCATGTCGGCTATCTAAGTAATTGTCTGAGGATTATTCCAAGAATATATTTCTTACAGTAATTTATTCTTTTAATGTTTTCTGACTCTTATTATTTTAGTTTTTGTATTTACGTGTTTTATGTTTTTGTACTTAAATTTTATTATTTTATGCTTTTAACTTATAGCTTCCTGTGAAAAAATGCAGAGCGTAGCTCGTTCATTACTGCGATATGGAAATCAGCTCGTCCTGAAGAAAATTTCTCCTCAACGCACAAATGTGGGTATGATTTATACTTCATCTACTTATAAAAGTGACAAATTATTTGTTCACAGAGATACAGATAAAAACAACCCTGAAATTCCTTTTGAATTCACACCAGAAAACTTAAAACGAGCTGAATCGATTATTAATATCTATCCCGAAGGCCACGAAGCTGCGGCTGTCATTCCTTTACTAGATTTAGCCCAACGACAGTACGGTTGGTTACCCCTATCTGCTATGCACTATGTCGCTGATATGTTGAAAATGCCCCGTATGAGAGTATATGAAGTTGCTACATTTTATACAATGTTTAATCGGGATCCTATTGGCAAGTACCATGTTCAAGTGTGTGGTACTACTCCGTGCATGTTACGAGGAGCTGAAGATGTCACCGATAGATGCAAAAAGAATCTTGGTGTTAATGTTGGGGGTACAACGAAGGATGGTATGTTCACTTTGAATGTTGTTGAATGTCTTGGAGCTTGTGTCAATGCACCAATGCTCCAAATTAATGATAATTATTATGAAGATTTGACTGTTGAGGATGTTGATGAAATACTTGATGATTTAAGAGCTGGTAGAGTGCCGAAAGCTGGTCCTCGCAATGGAAGACTTGCTTGTGAGCCTGCAGGAGGGTTAACTTCTCTCACTGAGCCACCCCCTGGACCTGGGGTTGGCGTTCGATCAGATTTGTAAGCAAATTATTAGTTGTATATAAAATTGTATTTATGTAGTAATTTTAAAAATTAATAAAAGGAATTAAAAAAATATATATATATTGGTATTTTTTGTTGTAGATATATTTTTTGCTACTAGATATTAAAAATCGTTTCAGTAATATCGCTAAAACATGAAAATAAGAAAAAAATACTGATCTTTTTTATAATTCAATATCATATTCTTTTTCACAATCAAGTAAATATAATTATTTAAATAAAAAATAGTGTGGAAAACATATAGAAACATTTTAAGTGTAGAAATTTTACATTTTAAACATGTAGTATAAGTAAAATATTATGATTTGGGCAAGCTTTAAAATTGTGTTAAATATTATATAATACTGCATTCATATTTTAATGTTTACTCTTCTCAATGTGATAGTAATAGAATCTAAAAATTTAGGTAATATCACATGTGTGTTTGCCTTTTAATTTAACTGCCTCTAAGACACTTATTCATATACTGTGTGTTATGTAAATTATAAAAATATTATTAAAATTTTTTAAATAATCTTTAAAATATTAATATTTTATATTATACTTAGTTCTGAATATGTAACAACAGTGGCTTTAGAACCCTAGCATATCAGAGTTCTTGGAAGTAGGTTAGCATCAAACAAAAGAAGGAAATTACGAGTTTTGCCTAAATATCTATCAACAACATTTTAACGTGCATTTAGATATATTTATTAAAAAGTTATGAGCATATTTTAATGTAATTTTTTTGTTTTTCATAAAAAAGGTGTTAAAAAAATGTATCTTTATCCTGTGATATACACTGGGGCATAAAAGACTTATAAATTTAAATCTGCTTCTTAAGTTGATATAGTAGTATGATATAAATAATGTTTTGACTGTTTGACATCAAAAAATTTCAATTTTCTTTTCATATTTATTTTCAGAGTAACAATTTTCAATAACAACAGTTTTTTCATATTTATTTTTGGTAACAAAGTTAGAGACCAATGTTCCCCCTCTAGCAACCCACTATTCATTTGGATGGTTAAAAATTTTGTCCTCCTCAAAGTACTTGTCTTGAAGAGCATAACTTTTTTAAATAAATTCTTAGTTTATAAAACTCCATTCTACATTGGGAAAGGAATAGGGAACGACACTGTTGCAATGTATGCGATTCCACATAAAGTCAAAAGTCTAAAACTAGCAATGACCTCATGTCTAGGACGATGAGATACAGGGCTTACCCGTAACCTAAGTCATAAGTCATTTCTTAAATAACTGCTTTTCTTTTGTTCCTTTTCATTATAGGCATTAGATTAGGACCAGTGACAGGATGGCTAAGGAAAAGAACATCCGGAATTACCCCATACTACTAACTAAAATAAAACATACAATTTTAAAGGTGAAATAAAAATGCTTGCATAAATTATTCTTATCGATCTTAATAAAGCTCTCCCTCCCCCCAAAAAAAGCCTCTACTATGAGAGACTCATCAACCAAAATTTTTGTTATTAACAAAGAATCATTTAACATCCACTTACTCGATTTAATATTCCATTTTGTTGAATTGTAACTTTATATAGTTCTATTTATTTAGGCTTATGTTCTGATAGACACATCCTAATAGTTCAACTCGTCATCCTAATTTTCAGCTGGTATCTTTGAACTGAATTTTTTTTACATATTTAAGGTTGGTTGTTGTTTAAATAATTAACTTTATTATTAAGTTATTTTCTTATAAAATGGTTTGCTATATTTGAAGAACATACATTTTTTAATGATAATTAAGGAAAATTAACACCATTTTCATCACATGATTTACTAGTTTCTAAGGGTTATACCATAGAAATGTCAACATTTATGATGAAATCTTTTTTGACTAAACATTGACTACTGTACATTGACTGTTTATTCGTCATACATTCTAGGTACTATGTATATGATCTGACAGCAGTTTTGAAATATCTCCTATCAGTCACGTTTTGTGGAGGAAATCACAAAGATGTGTGAAAAACTATACTTGGATAATCTTATAAATGACGTTAAAAATATATTATCATAAATTGCGCTGTTGAGTCTGTCAAAAAAATACTGTATTTCAAAATTAAAAACTGAGCAAAGAATATTTAAGGCCTGCTAAACAGATAATATTTAAAACCTTAATATTTCTTTATATTTTTATGATTAACCATTTGCATAAAATTATTTTTTTCATAAATAAGATGGGATAATTTTAAGTGACTGTATGGTTTCTAAGTAAACTAACCGGCAGTTGACTAATCATTAAGACGTGGTTCCTAGTAGATCACCGAAGTCAATCATCACTTGTTGGTGGGTGACAACTTTGATGTGCCTGCAAAGGGANTGCCTTGGATCTAAAGTGCAGCAGATGCCCTGTGTGTGTTTGCCTTTTTAATTTAACTGCCTGTAAGACACTTATTCATACACTGTGGTATGTAAATTACAAAAATACTATTAAAAATTTTAAATAATTTTTAAAATGTTAATATTTTATATTATACTTAATTCTGAATATGCAACAACAGTGACTTTAGAACCCTAACCAGGGGTCTGTTTAGAAGAAATTTGGGTTCGTTAACGGACCCTTCACAAAATATCTTTTCATAAAAACGGACCCTTCACAAAATAATTTGTCTTTTAATCGGACCCTTCACAAATTTTTTAATCTTCTTTATTGTTTTGTTAATCGATTCTAAGAAAATATTTCTATTTCTAAAAATATCGTGCGTACATTCTTATTGATATTAAATGATAATTTTTTTTGTAAATAATTAACTGAGCAATATATATTTATTCATGAAATTAATTGATAAAATATTATGTAAATAAAAATTAACTTTGTCAATTTTTTAAAAAAAAAATTATACATTTAAGAATTGTTTAAGTTTACTTAATGCGTAACACATTAGAAGTGATACCTAACTAAGTCGTGTTATTTAAAATATGACCATTGAAATTATTAAAAATGTGAGTGATTTTGTTTCCTTTATTCGTCTGAAATGAATATTCTGTGTTGAGCAGTTCAAGCTAAATACCAAATATTTGTATTGTTGCATCTCTAATTTAGTAGCAGCAATTGCTGTTTATTTTTGAAAATTTAATTTTTTTAATTATAATTTTAGAGTGTTGAGCATAATCTTGTATCTATTTACAATTTAAAAGCTCCTTGAAAAGGTGTTTTGCAATAACAGGACCCTATTTGCACAAATTCACAAAGGCAGGACCCTGGTTGAAAGATTGTGACTTATTGTTTATTTTATATTCGCAAAATGCCTGGACAGATCCCTGCTAACATATCAGAGTTCTTGGAAGTAGGTTAGTATCGAGCAAAAGAAGGAAATTACAAGTTTTGCCTCATATTCTATCAACAACATTTTAATGTAATATTTGGTTTTCTCATTAAAAAGGTTTTTAAAAAATGTATCTTTATCCTCTGATGTGCACTGAGGCACAAAAGACTTATAAATTTAAATCTGCTTCTTAAATTCATATGAAATGATAAGACATAAATAATCTTGAAAAATATTATTTCCTGGTAACTAATATTTAAGCTTATTAATCATTGTATTCCAACATTAACTATAAATCTTGTTATAAAAAAATTCTTGTTTGTTAAAATTGCTCACACTCTGCCTGTTAATCCTTATTCCTGATATTTCTTGTTTGAAAATGTACATTATGCTGTCAATTGTCACAAAAATTTGCATGTTTTAAATAGATCCAGCCTCGTTAAAGTAGACGACATTTTGTTTTGTATATTTATTTAAAACAAACATAGAAATTTTGAGGCATTTCAATGTTTCAGTTGTTTGACATCAAAAAATTTCGAATATTTTTTTTTCTTATTTATTTTCAGAGGAACAATTTTCAGCAACAACAGTTTTTTCATATTTATTTTTGGTAACAAAGTTAGAGACCAACGTTCCCCCTCTAGCAATCCACTATTTATTTGGATGGTTAAAAATTTTGTCTTCAGCAAAGTACTTGTCTTGAAGTGCATAACTTTTTTAAATAAATTCTTTGTTTATAAAACTTCATTCTCCGTTGGGAAAGACCGTTCCTCCGGGTGACGACACTCTTGCAATGTATGCGATTCCACATAAAGTCTAAAACTAGCAATGACCTCATGTCTAGGGCGATGAGATACAGGGCTTACCTGTAACCTAAGTCATAAGTTATTTCTTAAATAACTGCTTTTCTTTTGTTTCTTTTCATTATAAGCATTAGATTACGGGCGGTGATAGGATGGCTAAGGAAAAGAACATCCAGAATTACCCCATACTACTAACTAAAGTAAAACATGCAATTTTAAAGGTGAAATAAAAATGCTTGCATAAATTATTCTTATCGACCTTAATAAAGCTCTCCCTCCCCCCAAAAAAAGCCTCTACTATGAGAGACTCATCAACCAAAATTTTTGTTATTAACAAAGAATCATTTAACATCCACTTACTCGATTTAATATTCCATTTTGTTGAATTGTAACTTTATATAGTTCTATTTATTTAGGCTTATGTTCTGATAGACACATCCTAATAGTTCAACTCGTCATCCTAATTTTCAGCTGGTATCTTTGAACTGAATTTTTTTTACATATTTAAGGTTGGTTGTTGTTTAAATAATTAACTTTATTATTAAGTTATTTTCTTATAAAATGGTTTGCTATATTTGAAGAACATACATTTTTTAATGATAATTAAGGAAAATTAACACCATTTTCATCACATGATTTACTAGTTTCTAAGGGTTATACCATAGAAATGTCAACATTTATGATGAAATCTTTTTTGACTAAACATTGACTACTGTACATTGACTGTTTATTCGTCATACATTCTAGGTACTATGTATATGATCTGACAGCAGTTTTGAAATATCTCCTATCAGTCACGTTTTGTGGAGGAAATCACAAAGATGTGTGAAAAACTATACTTGGATAATCTTATAAATGACGTTAAAAATATATTATCATAAATTGCGCTGTTGAGTCTGTCAAAAAAATACTGTATTTCAAAATTAAAAACTGAGCAAAGAATATTTAAGGCCTGCTAAACAGATAATATTTAAAACCTTAATATTTCTTTATATTTTTATGATTAACCATTTGCATAAAATTATTTTTTTCATAAATAAGATGGGATAATTTTAAGTGACTGTATGGTTTCTAAGTAAACTAACCGGCAGTTGACTAATCATTAAGACGTGGTTCCTAGTAGATCACCGAAGTCAATCATCACTTGTTGGTGGGTGACAACTTTGATGTGCCTGCAAAGGGACCAAGGGTGTGTGGTATTGGTTCTCGTCAAACTGTTCTATCGTAAGTTGCTTGACTTTGCGAGGCCGAGGTGCCAAACCCCTCTGTAAACAATCAGAATTGTAATGGCATGTCTGCGGTTCATCATCGAGGATGTTTTCCAGACTATCTTCAATACCTCATTGTGCTAGCCGCGATGGTTTAGGGGATACAGCGTTTACCTTTCAATGAGGTGAACCGGGTTCGAATCTCAGCGATGGCTGGATGATACGAATTCCGCATCCGGCTTGCACCGACCACAGTGCTGACATGAAATATCCTCAGTGGTAGATGGAACATGGGTTAAAAGTTCCCTGGCCATCAGGCTAACCATGGGAGGTTCTCGTGGTCTTCCTCTCCATGAAACGCAAATGCGAGTTAGTTCCATCAAATACTCCTCCGCGAAGGCAAATGTCTACCGATACTTGTTCCAGGTGTTCCCTTGTCTTCCGGATTGAGTTCAAAATTACAAGGCTACAAAATTGAACATTAGAAATTGTAAACCCAAAAAAATTGGGTCGGCTGTTCAACGACGGTTATAAAATTAATTTTTTTAAAACATCTAACTGTGCAGCTCTAGTACGACGTAAATAAACTACTATTACTACTAATGAACTGGGTGGACAGGTAGAACCCATACTTCACTGGAGATAAAACCCATACTTCAAAATGTGCTATGTATGTTCCCAGTGCTTTAACTACTGTGTTAAATATGTCAATGTTATATTAGTCACAATGGAATGATCCATGTATAAAATTTTTTATAACTTAATATGGATAGTATATATTTAAAAGTCATAATTGTTGTGTCCTTTATAATTATTGAAGAAATTAAACCAAAGAATTTATTATTAAAGAAAATAATGAAATTGCTATTTTCTTTAGTAATAAATGGAACAATTATGTGTTCAATGCACCTGAATCTTATTTATATCATTTTTTTGTGCATAATTCTGTTGCACATGAAATTTTTAGAATTATTTTGATGCTACTTCAGTAAATAAACAAATCGTAAAAACAAACTTTTTATTCTAATTACACAACAATAATAAAATTATCCTATATTGCCAGCAACATTGGTTTTAAAAAAATGCATACTACTATTTAGTATTCATTTTGTGATAAAATAGTTCAGTATAAAGTCTTTGCCAATAACTTAGCTTAAAAGATATGGCTAGAAAAAACAAATGCCCTCTGTGAGCTATGCGATGTGTGATAGTCATATTCTTTATAGTTCAAAGTTGAATAGATCTAGTCATATTCTTTATAGTTCAAAGTTTAATAGATCTAGTCATATTCTTTATAGTTCAAAGTTGAACAGATTTTCACCCTGTCATATTTTTCACCATTCACAGTTTAATAGATTTCCGTCTTATCACATTCTTAACCGTTAACAATTTCCAGCCAGTCATATTCTTAACTGCTTTGTCTTGACATATTTCTGTCAAGTTTAATTTTATTGAACACCTATTCTTTTATTTTCAAATGCTATGAGTGATGGGTTTTCCGCCCAAGAATTTGATATTTTTGAGGCTGCTGATTTTTCACCATTATCATAATTGTTTGAGTAAAAACCAGATCCTCCCTGTTTTTCTGCTTCGGTTGTAGCTTTTATAATGTCCAAAACACTGGCTGCAATTTCATATTTTGCCTTGGCATTTGATTCACTATCTGATCCAAAATGTTCATTTGCATCAGCTCCATATTTTTGCTTTCTTTTCCTCTTTGGATCTCTCCTCACCACCGCCAAGCCACCGTTTTGCGAAGTAAATACTTTTTTGTTGGATGTTTCTTCGGAACTTGTGTTATCTGCTTGCTGGAATGGACCAGATACTGAGACTGATGTAGATATAGTTGCATTTAACTTTTTAATATCAAGTTTACCATTCAAAAGCGACTTGGAGAAATCTGGTAAGGTTTTCGGAAGAAGGGGAGACCTAGGTTTGAAAACAGGCTCTGGAGCTGCTGTAGTAGGTTGTGTTGTTGTTGTTGTGGGCTTAGGTGAATAAATAGGTCTAGGCTCTGTTGTCGTTGACGGTGTTGTCGTTTTTTCTCTAATCGACTGCGTTGATTCAGGTCTAGATTTAGTGGCAGTAACTTCAGAATTTTCTTTGTCGTTATTGTTTCGTGGATTATATCTGTTTTTGCGCTTAGGCTTCCTTAATTTACGAACTGCTTGGTTTCCCTGTTCTTTTTTCTCTTCTGGAGAGCTCAGTGATTTATTTTCCTCTTGTTCATTTTTTGTATTGGTATCATCAATGTCTCGAAATTTGGATGCTACATCAGCTGGTGCTGAGAAAAAATTTCTCGCAGATTCAGGAATAGCTTTCATGTTCATTTCTCGCACAGACGATTCATGTTGTTTTGCAAGCTCTGGTGGAACACTGAAAAAACTTGAAGTAAACTCGATTGGAGCACCTTCTGGTCGATATGAGTATATGCTGTGGTCTATAACTGGATGTGGTATTCCGAACATATCAGCACCTCTTGTGTTGGATTGGGAAGTCTTTTGTGATGGTGCAACAAGGTTTTGAAGACCACGCGGTACATTGTAAAAATTACCGTCATGCTTGAAATTTCCTGATCCCGTTTGTTTTGATGGCGATGTAGGTCGGCTTTTTGCTCTATAAACTGGACGCCTTCTTTTTTCAGTTTGGCTTGTAGACTTATTTTCTTCTTCCGGGTTATTCAATTTTCTATCATTACTATTAAAAAATCTTCCTTCTTTTTTGCCTTCTGAATTCTGCATCGTTCTTCCCGGATTAACTCGAATTTCTGTTTGCTGTGTAGGGGATGGAATATGTTGTCTTCTTCTTTTCTTAGACTGCCTCGGATCGTTTGTTTTCAGTCTTGCCCCATAAACTGGTTGATCCGGATCTTCTTCAGAATAGCTGGTCACTGATTCCTCTACTTCAGCACTTGCTGTTGATTCACCTAAATCATTTTGCTGGTAATATTTTGATGCTGGTGCTTTTGGCTGTGGCCTTTCAAAAAACTGCACTACTTGATCTTTTCCATAGTAACCGGCTGGGGGATAGAGACTGCTAGTTTCTGCGGCTTTAAAATTATCTTTTGGTGTTTGTGAGTAACTAGAACTTTCCCGATGTAATGGTTTTGAAGTATATTCTGCGGGAGGTGCTGGAATCTGCTCAGGTGGTGGTGGTGTGGGTGATATGTCATTTGATGCAGGAACTACTTCAGTTGTTGAAATATATTGTGGTGGTCTGGGTCTCCTCCTCCTTCCAGGTTTCCGTTTCCTTGGAACTGAATCATTTATTCCCACAGAATGATCTGTATTCAGAGTCTTGGCTGAATTTTGACCTGGATAATCTGTAACCATACTTGTTTTGGGATTTCTTGATGTTGTTCCTCTTTGATTTGGGACTTCATGGTATTGGACATATTGTCCTATTACTGCACTTGGTGTGACAGTGTAATATCCTGATGGAGGAGGTATTGTTCTTTGGCGATGAGGTCTTTTATTTTCGTTTGGTCTTTCCTTTCTGGGTGGAGATTGTTGACGTGTAGTTTTTGGCATTTTAGTTCCTGCCGTTGTTTTTGGGGGCTTATATCCGCTGTACATTATCCTGCCTGGAACCGGCTCGTCTGATATCGTTGTTGCATAAGGACTTTGAAAATACTGAAAATTAGGATAACTGTTTGCATGCACACCATATTGGGTGAAAGCTGGTTGAGAATTAGCTATTACACCTTGAATACTGTTTGGACCGTTTGGTGGTATCTGTTGTCTTGGATGATATGGTTGTGGTGGTACATTCAAGCCAAATGCTGGTCCTGGATTAGGATTTAACTGCTGGGGAAAAGGTACCGAGGGTTGGTAATTCACAATTGGTGGTCTAATGTCAGATGGCATTCCAAAAGGTCTGTAGTTTGGTTGTGGATAGCTTCCCTGAGGTCTTTGAACAAGAGGTGGAGTTTGAAGAGCTGGAGGGGATCTGTATTGATTGTTAGGGTACCTTGATAATATAGGTGCTGGATGTGTTCCTGATGGTACTGGCCTTACGAGATTTGGATCTGGGACTTCAACGTGGATGGGAACTGGGACTTCTTCTACTATAACTGTTTGATGTCCAGCTTGTGTCACATGACGAACTGGTACGGGTCGAGATGGGCTGCCTGGTGGTGTCCTTATCTGGGGATTTGGCATTGAGAAGGAGAAAGGAGCTAAGCTAGATCCTGATGTATGTAAACCATTGGGTGAAAAAATGCTTTTAAATGGGGAAAAGGTTGGAATAAATTTTGGGTTAAAAGCGGGAAACACTGATCTTGGAAATGGGAGAAATGGAGGTCTCATTTGTCTTTTGCTCCTAATTTGAACTGATCTCTTTTTCCTACCTTGAATCTTTCGGAAGCTGGGTAATAGTGATCTTCCTCCTGCCACGAAAGGAAATCCGAATTTAAAAGATGGAGACTTTTTGTGTAAAGGAGGAGGGTGTGGTGGGTAAATTGAAGGTGATTGTAAAATAATTGGCGGTTGGGGAATCGGGTGTGGTTGACTATACGTTCGCTGTTGTTTCACTTTACCATTTTGAATTACTTGCAAACTTGGGTTTGGTAAACGAGATCTAATTATTTTTAATTCAGGTTTTGGCAAAACGACTTTCTGCTGCACTGTTTCACTCATGTGGTTTTTATAGAACACTCTGACTGGAACTTTCTTTGCCGTAACGATCGCTGGTTGCTTTTTTGAATTCTCTGTTTTCATTGGCATGACAGTGACTGGCTGTCTTTTTGGTTTCAAGTGTTTTGCTAGAGGTATGAGTCTCAAAGATGCGAATTGTGCCAATTCAGCTAATTCTTTCTTGTCCTCTTTCTCTTTGTCAGGAACGATGAAAAATTTTTTGACGGATTCCTTACGGCCTTTTTTCTTTATCTCAAACCCTCGCTCTGAAAGAATTTCTTTCAAGTGTGCATCAGTGATAGGTCCATTGATTTTTATTATTTCATGGGTAGATCCAGACTTGTCTTCTTTTTGGTCCTCTTCATCTGATTGTTCAGCAATAAAATCAACGACTTCTAATAAATCTGAAGGTATTTCTTCCATCTCTTCATTTATTGACTCTGATTCTTCCATAATATCAGCTACCTTATAGCTTGGTGTGACAGCCTCCTCTTCCACATCCCAATTTTCTGGTGAGTTGCTAGTTGCTGATGTTGTTGCGAAAAAATCATTCATAAGTTTCAAAAGATGTTGCTGAGCAAGAAAATGCTTCGGTAATTCGTCAGCTCTGATGCTATCTTCAATGTCGGGTAGTTTTGTGGTAGCCAAAAACTTTTTTCTTGGTGATGATAGCTTGTTTAAAGCTGTGTGAGATGAAAATATTGATCCCACTTCAATTTTTTTATTTGTATCATCCACCAGTTTCCACTGATGTCCATCATTATCATCTGGTGTCCGGCTATTCTTTTTGTATTTTCTGATATACGTAGTTGTGCTTTTTGAGGGTGATTCGGTGGGTTTGAGCAATATTTCTTTTTCGTCCTCGTTTGAGTCCGTTATGAATAAGAGTTGCTGTCTGTGACTGGATTTTTGTTCTCTTGGTTCTGCCCTTGGTGGCGGAAATAAATCTTCTGGCTTCGTTGTCGAATGCGAATTATAGAAACCTTTATCTTCCAGTCTTCTAGAGTTCCTAAATTTCAACTTTCTTGTTGGGGTTTTTCTTATTGATGGCTTTGGTTGTTCATAATATTCCTCTGCCGACGTATCGTCTGATAGTAAAGTAGAGGATTTTTTTGCTTCTGTATCATCGGTTGTTTCTGGGAGAATTTTCTTTCTTCTAAATTTCCGTCGTTGTTGGTGTTCAGAATCTAAATATAGTAATGATATAAATATGTATCTGCATACAACAACTTATTATTTAATGATGATTGAAAAATATTTATTTGTAATATTAATTTTTTAATAGATTTATACGCCTATGTTTGTTTCAAGAAAAATAATTGGCTATGAAAGGCAAATCATAGTATCATTAAGTCGATGAATATAGGTTAAATATTTTTAGGATATCTGATCAAATTAGGTCTGACGCAGAAAAATGAGGAGATGTCGCCCTTAGATTCTCGCCCTGTCTGTTATTATGGAAACAAGAAAAAACGCATTTCAAAAGGACCCATCGCCTTGTATGCAAGAAGTTCGCGTATGCGAATTAAGATATGCTAATGAGAATTCTCGTTCGCTTCTCAATCCGCCTTTGCGATTTTTTTCGCATGCAATAAGAATAGCCGAAGAGAGGGGAACTTTTGAAATGTTCCTCGTCTGTCAGAGTCAATATCTGTCCTAAATTTTAAATTCACACTCCTACTTGAACTTTGTAATCATAGTTACAAACATGGCTCAAGACAGTTTAGTTAGACAGACACTACCTCAGGTTTGTGGGACTTATGTTTACTTAAATAAGGTAACAAGAAGGGGTGTTTTATAAAATCATAGCTACTTTATAAAAAAATCGTTTGAGCTTCTGAAGAACCGTCTTAAATAAATCTCATGGAGAAAAAAGTGTTTCAGTTTTCTAATCGTTTTAATAATTTGACAACTGATTTTCTTTTCTTAAACTTCATTTTAAACTAAGTTTTCAACTTACCAGTTATTTTTTCCCCAAATTTTGCTTCTGCTATGTCATCTGTCGTTGGCTCAGTGGTCACGTACCAAGGATTTTTATTTTCTTCTTCCGAATTTTCGTTTTGTTCATTTTCTTGAGTTGAAGAAAAAAGATTTTCAAATTCTGATGTTGGCAATGGCGGCAAAGTATATGGCTCAACTTTACCCGGTTCAGAATATCCCAGCCAAGATTGAGAAACTATGCTCTCGCTTTGCTGCATACCACCGTACCTTGATTTCTTTCTGAAATAAACAGTTCAACAAAACGTTAAAAATACGAAAGTCAAAGCATTTTATTCTGAAAACTAAAAAAAAAAATGCTTTCTGCCTTTGAAATTAAAGCATAAATAATTCAATATTCTAAAATCTCTGTTTCTCATCAAACTTCATAAAGAAAATACCATGAAGCATCCGGGAAAGACTACTTCTATGTAGCGACTACCCCTATTTACGACTACTTTTGGGAGGCACAAAATTTTTTCCATAGATTTTGTGAGGAAAACCTTTAAGAGAGACCATTAAAACCTCTGTCATCGACCGAGCAAGCATCTGCACCAAGGGCGGAAAATGTCAAAAAGGAAACACGAAAAAATATCAAACAAAAAATTTAACGAAGCAAAAAAGCAGATTAAAATGTATTCAAAATATTTAAGTGAGGCTCTTACTTAGAGACACCTTCTTGACGATACAACCTCGTGCTGCAATCAGAGCGCACTAAAGACGATGCTATCACTCACTGACTTTTAGAGTTGAAAGTTGAATTAAAAGAAAAAAAAGTTTTTTTGAAAAAACAAGCATCTCAAGCAAGAAAACCTCATCTCATCTGTTAATCCATTGATACCGCCGAAACTGTTAATCCGATTTTCATTGTGTGTTGAGGATATGGTAGTTGAATTTTCTATAATGTAGAGACAGATTTCGATTATTGCATCTCGATTTTTGAGTTTCTTATTATAAGCTTCGAAATTTATTCGCTTACTTATTAGCATAAAATATAAAACGCAAACTAAAATTACAAATTAAACCGCGATTGCTGTTTACCAATTGTTGTGCCGTTACATAAAAAAACGTATTGAAACTACATACGAGAGCATTTCCAAAAGTAATTTCCCCGTTCACAAATCCGTTTATTTTCAATTATATTATTTTAGGGCCGGGATAGCCTGGTTGGAGGGGCACTGGGCCCATGTTCAAAAGTTCGCGGGTTCGATCCCCGCCGGCCGAGGACTCCCCGTGTAGTAAATGGTGACTGATGCACGTTAAATCTGTCGAGTCACAAAGTCCTCCATGTTCCCATAAAAAATCATACCTCTGAGGGTACTGATCCAGGAGTTTACTTGTCTTCTGGATTGGTTCAAAATTACAAGGCTAAGGAGTTGAAGATTAGTAGTCGTAAACCCTGAAGTGGGTCGAGACGGGTTCAACAACGGTTATAAAATGAAATAAAATTTTATTATTTGCATTTCAACGGTTAAACCTTTATCTGTTTCTTCACATAATCGTCAAACCAGTCGATGAATTTTCTCGAACATTTTGACAGTTTTTCTGTGCCCATGTCATACCGATTCTCCGCCATATCTCTCCGTTTTTCTTCTTCTCAAAGAGTTGAATCATCTTCCAGTCATGTGTTCTTTCAAAAATAGTGAATATTTAATAGTCACTGGGTGCCAAGCTCAGAATATAAAATGTGCTGAACTGTTGCAGGAGAGCCTTGGTTTGATGTACAACGAGTTCAGAATGCTTGCGTTCTAGCTCAAATTCTTCTTATCTAGTTTTGTATTTTCCACATGAGTTTTCTTATTGTTTCACAGCATCTGTCAGTATTTATTGTAGTTAAAACAAGCATATAAAGTTGACCTACTCCGTCTTTAAACGGTTCGCTTCCAAAGACGAAGTCGAAAATGATGTTCTACCCTTTTTGAAGAACATAACGGGTAGCAGGTAGAAAACGGACAATCAAAAACTGTCGCAGCGTTTACAGAAATAGGTACTTATGCGTTTAAGAAGACCGTAAAATAATCACCTAACCTTTATTAACATCAATGAGGTATGCTACCGATATTGGGAAAAATAGGTCCTTAACCCCTTAACGATCGGTTAATTTTCAAGGAAATGGTCATAAAAGTGCCTATTTGTTTGGCTTTTATATTTGTATTACGTATTTGATTAGTGTTGGCATCCAGTTTAAAATAAACTAAATATCTACAATTACTTTAAAAATATCCTGGTACTGCCATCTGGTGTGTAAAATGAGAAATAAAATGTTCTTCGGGCAAAAGAAATGAATTAGTTCTATTCTTATTGACGCGTTACTACTGAGCACTCCAGCCCGTCAATATCACGGGAGCGAGAAGAAAGGGAAGAATATACTAATATAGGTACTGTGGTAATATGCTTTATACGACTGTTAGAAACGGATAAATATTTAAAATTGCATCGATTGGTTTGGTGATTACGTAGAGAATTAGGCAAACATTTAACCTTAAAATGATGCAAATATTATAGAAAATAAACAGTTGTAGTGTTTCTGCAAAAAAAATAGGAGATCTTACTTTTGAGAGTGTGCTCGTTATATGAAGCTTCAACTTTACATGTTTGATTCCAAAACACATAAAATAATTTTTTTTCTTTAAATTACCTTTTAAGGCCATGAATTGTTGTAACATCAGTTGGCTGCATTTCAGTCGTTGTTTCTGGGGGAGCAATGTCAGTATTATTACCATTTTCAGTAGTCGTTGAAGGTTTGCGTCGATTAAGGTTTCTTCGCTTGTTCTTTCGAAAATCTTTGGCTCTGCTTCTGTTCGCTGAAAAAAGCCGTAGAGAACCATTTGAAGGAGATGCTGTAGTGGTAGTCGTTGGTGGGAAGGTGGTCTTTAAAATATCGTCTTCTGGTGGACTATCGGTTGGAGAGCGGGCTGACACGTGTGAGTGCTTTTGTCGCTGTGAACGAACAGTATTAGAACAAAAAATATTATACGAATAATTTTAAAGATATGAAGTTAATTGAGTTTACTGAATGCTTATCTTAGTGTACCTAAGTATAGAGTTACGTCATATAGGTAAAATTTGGTAATTGGTTGAAAATCATAATTTTCTGACAAGAAACGAAACAAAAACTTTCTCTCAGAATTAATTTAGAATACAGCGAGGAGGTATCTTTATTCGGAGGAGTCTTAGAATTGGATACCTGCAGATGACGTCATCGTTGATAAATCGTGGCATTTGTCGATTAAGAAGCCAATTAGTTTCGACACACACGCTTGACGTCGCATACAGGTATCCAATGAAATCTGATTTAAATTACATGGTTCGGCATATTTCCTTCACTTCTTCCTTAGTTGCAAGTACCCAATAGTAGATATATTCTAATTTTTTTTTAAAATTATTCTTAACTATTCAATGTATCTTTTATAATTCATGTGGAATAATTGGATTTTAAAACTATGATATCTATACTTGACACTTTGAATTTTATTAAATTATTTTTACTTTCTATGTAACAAAGGAAAAAAAACTGTTATATTTCTTTGTTTTAAGAGATCAAATCTCTCGTTAAGTTATTTATAAATAAACTACCGATTTTACATCTTTTCTTTTTCTTTTTTTTATTATAAGGAATTCTTGTTAGTTATTTTAAACTAAACTTTATATTAAATGAACATAATATCTTTAAAATTGACTCGATTCTTATAAGTTACTCTCGATATTTTATTTCTTACTTTTTCGTGCCAAAGCCATAGAAAAATTGTGTTTTTAAATTTCTTAAAATTCTTTTTTCTATTTTTTATGGCAACATTCACACAGTAAACATTAATCAAAGAAATAAGAATTTAAAGTATGAAAGAAAGCCTCTTGTTCCTGCTTGTTTAAGAAAAACAAATGCTTTTTTTCGACTACGATTATGATTAGTCAATCAACAAATAATTTTCATAGATTTGTTAAATTATTCTTATAAGAAATATTTTCAATAAGATTTCACAACTTTTTACAAATAAGTGATAAGGTTTGTTATGCTATGTTATTTGCATGGTTTTCTGTACAGCTTATTAACACGTTGAATGCCATGGGGGTCACCGGTGACTGGCACGGAGTTTCTTCGTAGAGCCACGGGGATCACCGGTGACCGGCGAAGCCAAGATTATTAGAAACACATAATTCGAGTAAATATTTAATTTTTTTTATATTATTATCGTTACTAAAGTGGTTTGAAGAAATTAATGCAATATAGAACACACAAAAATAGTTTTATTCATATACACAGAGATGCAACTTGCTCCGGACAGTGAATAAATATTTTCAAGTGGTAGTTTATTAATTGTGATTCTTGGTTTAATAAATTCAATTTAGTAGATTTTTATCCTTCACTATTTCTAAACAATTCGTAGGCTTATATAAATCACCACTTTTTTCAGATATGTCATGCTAAACCTTTTAAAAAAACTAGCAAAACCTGTCTAATATTTTCAAATTTAGCTTGTAGTTATTTATCGTTTGGCCAGACGTAAAATTAGCGTGGCATTCAATGTGTTAACTGTTAGTAAAAAAAAATTCTTCTGATGTATGCATGTAATATAAATAATACATATCATATACTGGATGATTCAGCACAGCGGCTAGAAATGTGGAAGAAAGATAGGGCATATTATAAGCATTGTAATTTGTATAGCAACCTATGTCCAAAATGTCATCGTACGCTACTAGGGGTGCCTCCCTGCTATGAACTGGTTGTTCGTGCACATTTGAAATCGTACTTCTATTTATCTAAATTATATTAATTATGTGTCAATTTTATGTTTTCTACAGTAATTATTGTCAATAATTGCATTTTAATAGACCCAAAAATAGCTGTTTTATTGTAATTTAATAATGAGGTGACCAACTTGGTGAGTCTGACAAGATAGTCCACAAATCTTTTATTTGGGATATAACAGCTATTTTTTAGCCGATTTGAGTGCATTTTTTTTAATAATAATTACTGAAAAAAATAAAAATTTAATATATAATTAAGATAATTCAAATAAATGCTGTTTTAAAGAAGCACTAAAAGTCAGTTAAATGGAGAGGCGCCCCTAACGGTTTACGATGGCATAGATTGCGGTTAATCCTAAGGATTGTCTCAGTCCTTAGAAAGTGCTTTATCTTTTCTCCAAGTTTTTAATAACCTGCTCCTATCGCCCTAAATGTGGTCTCTGTTCATATATACTTTGACTCTACTATTACAATTTTTTTTTTTTCATTCTATAAATTTCGCAAAATATAAATGTGAGTGAATAAATATTTAAGTTACATTCTTAACTTGATTATAAATCATTACTTTACCTTTGTATTTACTCGTGGAGGTTCACTGAAATCTAGAACTTTACCAACTCTTTTATGTTTTCGGGGTTTTCTTCCTTCGATGGCATCGTATTCAACGGAAGTATCATCCAAAACATCTGGTGCCGCTCTTGTAGTTAAAATTTTATCTTCGTTTGGCGTCCAATCAGTCTGATAACTGCTGCCTAGTGATACCGTTGTAGTCACCATTGGCTTACTTATTTTTCTTGAGCCGAAACTTGAATAAGGATCAGACGTCGTCCCTCTGGTAATTAACGCAACAGATGAGCTAGGTTTATCACTTAATTTGGCGATTGTTGGCGTTACAAATGAAGCTTGAGCTTGCTGGTCGATATTCATGTAACTTAACAGATCTTCTAATGGTAAAGCGAATCTTGAAATTGGCTTCGTTGGGGTAAGATGTGCCAAGGACTTGTGAGATCTATGGTTGCTCAAATCTCCGGAGTATTTCTTTTTCGGGGAAGTTTTCCCTGCGGGTCCAGAAGTTTTCTTTGATGTTTTCAGTTCTTTTTTCGTACCTATTGTGCCCTCTTTACAAATCCGTGTGTTCAAAACTGATTTGTCTTCGCACACCATAGACAGTTGATTGAATATTGAATCGGTGGGGCAATGGAAAGTGTTGCGTGTACCATCCGGTTGGCAGTAATGGAACACCTCACAGTCGAATTTAGAGTCTGAGAAATAACCCATTTTTCTNAATCATCATTACACTAAATATAGCACAAGAACTAAAAATTTAACTTTCAGATATTAATGATAAAACGATGAAAATTCTTATTTCCTCTAGTTAAATATTTTAAAAACAGTTTTAATAGGCTATAAAGTTCACTATTTCCCTAAAAAACTTTATTTATATAGTCCGCCGAAATGAGGTTAATTATTTAGGGTTCCATAGCGGAAAAATATTGGGAGCCGCTGACCTAGATCAACTAATTCAAATACTAAAACAGTTTAAACTAATTTGTACAACCTCCTCTTATAAAGATTCTTCCATTATAACGACCATTAAAAAAATAATCGATTCATAAAACCATTCATTTTAGTGAATTGATTCTAAAGAATCGATTCATTTAAAATTCAAATGAATCAATTGGCACATCACTACAATATACAGAAAATTGTTCCCTTTTCTTTATTTTCAGTATCCACCAGCCAAATGTATTGCTTTTAGATACTTTTATAAAATGCACGTCGTGTTTCTTTGAAGAAGGAAATTTCCTAAAAAATTAAAATTTATATTAAATATATTTTATTTTCTGAAACGGTAGTATCTAAAATTTGAACTAACTAATTTCTATCTATTAACACATTTGTCACATAAAAGAAAGCAGTATTTTTTTTTAAATTTTTTAAAATTACATTCCTTAAAATGATTTAATAATTCATATAACTTAGAATTTAAAGAGTTTTGAAAGGTTTTCACAAAAATAATAATAGATTATGAGATATTATTTAAAGCTACTTTTTCCACAGAATAACCTTTGGGTAAATGAATTTTACAACTGCGTATAAATCAAGTATTTATAAGTAGAGTCAGAAAGACCATGAAACTCTATGCGCACTGATTTTTCTATTAGGATACATAACTGAATACTCACATTGTTTATTGCTGGCAAAGATTCGACGAAGTTTAGCCACTGCTTCGCCTCCTCAGCAAGCCGATCATTACAGTCTAGTTTTATACACTACAGTTTCTGCAGAAATATTTTACCTTTCTTTACAGCTGTACCTGAAAGTCAGAGGGGGTCTAATATACGTACAACTGCTGAAAGAACTGATCTCTTCGTGGGCGGAACCATGCTTTCCTCCTGGATTTAGAAAGCAAAAAGGTCACTGGTTGAATTCCATATGACTCCTAGTACTTTTGTCTCCTCCTCAAAGTTGTAGCTTTCGTCAAACCCCGGTATCAATTTTCATTTGCTATACCATTTGAGCAGCTGCATTTCTGTATTGAGTCTGTGATAACTCCGACTACAGTTCTTTTGTTTCTCTGAAGATGGCTACGGGGCTCAAAACATCATCCATATAGAAATCTCTTTCTAATACACATGAGATGAGATTTCTCGTCTCCAGACAATTGAAGTAAAACCCTTGCTCTTAGATATGGTGCACTAACTGCTCCGTATGTCATTGTTTAGACCTCATACTTCTCAACTGGATCATTCACTCCCTCCCTTCAAATTATTCTCAAAAGTTTAGTTTGACTCGGATTAATTTAAATAATCCTCTACATCTACCTAATGTCTGCTACAAACGAATAAATATGTCAAAAAAATCTCGTCCAAATGTTAAATAAATCTTTATCTATAACACACAGTTTGTTCTAAGTTATATTCCACAGTTATATTCCAAAGAATTTAAAGAATTCCCCAAGTTTGTTTGTACGGATGCGTTAAACCAACACCTTCTAGACGAAAGAAGACCTCAGCGCAGATCAATTAAGTAATCCGACTTAAAGAATATAAGCTGTGCAGTGAATTTTATGGTAAAACATGCTGAGGCCCTCTCTTTTCTAGGAGCATTGATTGAACACTACACGAAGCTTTGTAGTACTTTTATCAGGGCTATAAATTCCTAAATGCGGTATATAATACATTCCTACTTTTTCCTCACACTCTGATATTTCTGTCATATGACTCATATTTTCATATTCGCGAAAAACTTCCCTGCACAATGCTAATACTCACTCTCCTTTAAAAACGTTTACACAGGAAATTTAATTTTTTTAAGAGCAATATCCTTGGATTTCCCTAAGCACATTAGGACATCTTTTAACAGCATTTTTACTATATACCACCTTGTGTCATCCCCTTTAATATTTTATTCCAAGTTCTTTTCACAAATTATTGCTTCTTTATACCTGGGTACCTAAATCTGCGCATCTTCTATTTTCTAAAATTTTCACGCGGTGTTGTTTATACTAGTATTATTTATAATGCAAGGTGACTCAGTGATGATTCAGTGGAGGAGTGATGACTCAGGGGATAGATCATACGCCTTCTAATTAGATGGAACGGGTTTGAATGCCAACGATGGCTGGTCGATACAAATTCCGCATCCTGCTTGCATCGACAACAGTGCAGACGTAAAATATCCTCAGTTTTAGGCGGATCATGGTTTAGAGTCCCCTTTCCATTAGGTTTACCGTGGGAGGTTTTCGAGGTTTTCCTCTCCGTGTCACGCAACTGCGGGCTAATTCCCTCAAAAAGTCCTCCACGTAGGCACTTTTCGCCAATAATTGATCCAGGAGTTCACTTGTCTTCCATATTGTGTTCAAAATTACAAATCTACGGATTCAAAATTACAAATCTACTGTTTTTGACTGATTTATTGACAGGGAGGAAGTAACACTGTTTTGACTACTAGAGGCGGCAGTTGTTTGGAATATAGGCGACGACAATGCAAATTCCCTTGCCTCAATGGGGGTGAAGGGGATGAAATCTTCGGTCAATGGCACTTGCAATGAATCATTCTTTCTCGAATAATGCAAAGAAAAATAATGACACTTATTTTTTTTACCCCTCTTTCACACAAAGAACAAGTAAATTTAGATTTACTACTAATAATCAAACGTTTATCCAGGCAATTAAAACAAAAATTCTTTCTTTTTATTACTTCTACTCCTTCAGAAATGGATATTTATTTACATTTATGCATTATCAAAACATAGAATACACTTTGAACACTTATTATCAACTCAAACTATCTACACATTTCTCGATCGACCACAGTGCTGACGTAAAATATCATCAGTTTTAGGCGGATCATGGGTTAGATTC